ACTCCTGGGCGAACCGGCGCAACGGCGGCTCGGTCTCCAGATCTCGACGGCGCCGCTTTCGTCCCCGCCCATCCATCAGGACCATCCAATCCCTAGCGAGGGAAGACCACCGCGCCAGGCACCGCCGCAAGGAACAGGCATGTGGTTGGCCGCGCGGCGGCAACTGTCACCCGCATCGCGCGCGCATGGCCCGGAGACCGGAAGCTCGTTCCCACTCTCGGCCCAGTCAGCCAGCGTGCCTTGCCTGCCAGCCATCTGGCGTCTCTGTGCGTGCCGTGCGTGCGTGCGTGTCTGACGGTGGAGACGGACGAGGATGAGAGATCGAAGAGAGGGCAACAGGCACACCTGGCCAAGCAAAAAGGCCAAGCGGCAGTTTTTTTTTTTGGGTCCCTCTCTTTCTCACCGGACACCTCGAACCAACGCCGGCCCAATTGGGCATCACGGCCACCATCCACAGCTGATGGTGAAACGCTTTGTTTGAAAGCCCGCCGCCCCCTCCCCGCACATGCATGCAGCCAGGCCACGCAGGCAGTGGAAGAAAGTGCAAGTGCCCGCCAAAAAAGGCCGGCTGAAGGCGGCAGACTTTTCTCTTCCGTCGCACTTTTTGTCTGTTCTGGTCTGGTGGGTTCAATAGTGTGTCCGTCAAGAACCACATTGGGCTGCACAGAAGGGCAACTCCAGCACCGTTCAGGATGGTGGAACGTACAGAACGCTCACAGGGCACAGTGCTGTAGATGTTCTGCCCATACGTTTTCTACATTGGCAACACTGTATGGGCCAAGATGGGACAGAGATCATCACGTTTCCTTTCCGAGTGGGCAGACGAAGCACCTGCCACATCCGCGTGGCCCAGCTCTTCTGTCAATCCACACGAGGAGGAGAGTTTGTTTCTTCAAGCCTCGGGCAAACGCCCCACATGCACCACAAACGCTCCTTTCAGAGAGGCGTTGACCGTTTGGCTGGGAGAAACACGTGGATCCACGTCGTGCCAGGCACTGATGGAGTCTGCTGGTGTTTTCCATTCCCCATCGGCTGGGACTCGTGAAAGCCAAGCTTTTCGGCTAATTCTGGTCGCCCCATATAAATGCACAACACCAAGAGAAGAAGCAGCAGCAGAAAACCCGGATCGATGCCCTCTGAACTTGACTCGTCCCGTCGAGGATGGGCCTGGTGATGTGAATCATGTCTCCCCGGGCATTGGACGCAGCCTATTCGAGTAGGAGCTGAGTCCTTTGTCCCAACTGAGCAGACCGTATGCAAAGCTTCTCGCCGTGGTTCGTGATCCATTGACGTGTGGTGGGAGAGACGCATTGTGTCCTTTGCGCCTGTCAGAGCTTCCCGAGCTGCATACGATGCTCTGGCCACGGGCGTGAGCTGCATGCATATGCGCTCCCGTGCGGGCTGCATGCCCGGATTGCTGCCTTTCCTCTGCAAATAGCACCGCGCTGCGGGACGTTCCTCCGTGCTGCAGGCCATGAATCGCTCAAACCCGTTGCAGTGGTGCGCTGTGAAGGTGTGATACAGCGACTGCAGCCTGGCCACTACCCCGTAGTCACTGCGACCGACTTACGGTGTCACCGTTTCGTGCTGATGCAGCGATCCGGCGATAATGCAATTCGCAGCGGGGATTCCCATCAGTTATTGCGATCCCAGAGTGTGTCGTTCTCGGCTGTATCACTCATGTGCAGCATAGCACGACCGCCGGGAACTCACCGCTGCGGTGTAGTTCTGCGCCACGGCCAGGTCGACTTGTCCAGAGTCTCGGATCGTCAGTAACTGCTTCAATCCAAGGCCGTCCTTCACTGACCCTTCTGCTTGCATTCGAGTGAGGATGCTGACTGCCTCACCGCCGTGTCGCGTTCTGGAATTCCATCTTGATAGCTTCACTCGCCCAATCACTCATTTCACTGATCACCGCTATAAAGCTCCGGATGTCGCTTCCTCGCCCTGATGTCTCCCATGTAGCCAACGCGACATGCCCATGTCCCGTGTCCCATGTATGCGACCACAGCTTACGACATCACCGCGCATTCACCTGTCCGCGTATCCTACCATTCGAGTAGCAGCATGTGTAAGCCGTACAGATACATTGACCGCCGCTGCGGCCACCCCATAGCCAAGGGCTGGCATCACTGGGTCGCCGAGCCCTGCCGCGTAGCCCTCTTCACGCGCCGGGACTGCTGGATCCCCGTCAACATTCCGCTGGCGATGATTGAGAAGCGGCTCTGGGAGGGCGAAGACAAGCCCTGCATGTGGTGCTTAAAGCACAAGGAGGCGCTTAAAGGAAAGTCCAACGTAACTGGTAGGACGAAGCGCAACGAGGTCTGCAAGCAGGTGTCTCAACATGCCTCTGACCCAAAGTATGAGAATGTAGCCGCGACCAAGTCCAAGGGCTGCGGCACAGAAGCTCGGGGCGGCGACCTGGTAGTCTCGGGCGAAGGCGATCTCACAATGCACAGTGCTCACAGTGTATATGCAGCACATGCAGTCTCGAAGGACAGTTTCTCGTCCTCGGGTGAAGTATCATAGAGAAGCGCGCCCCCTGGAGGGCCAGAGACGATATCTGCCTCACAGCCACGCACACGTAGAAAGATGACGTCGTTTATTCGTGTCGTTTCTATCACTGGGTATCTACTCTAGCCAAACAGCTTATCTAGAATCTTTTCAAACATGTTTCTATCAAAAGTCAGCATGCGGACCGATATACTGGGTGGGTGGATAACATGAAGACACTATATAACGAGGGACAACTCACTTGGGCGGCGCGGGAATGTAGTTGCGCTCGTACTCGTCAATTTCGGCCTTGTCCTTGAGCAGGTCCACCTCGTGCGGCTTGAGGATGCGAGTCTTGTGCACAATCTTCCAGCCAAAGTACAGGATCGGGAAGACGGGGATCATGGTGTACCTGCGATGCTCAGTTAGCCCCCCCGTCACATAACAAGGCAGCGCAAGCACAAGGAGAGAAAATGGGCCAAAACTCACGAGAACAAAAAGTCGGGCACGCTCCACTGGCCTGGCAGCGGCAGAAACACCGTGTACCCGCCGACAAAGGCCATGACAAAGGTGCCGACGAGCCCGTACCAGGCCGCTCCCGGCATCAGCCAGGCCTTGTACGGCAGGCTGTCCCGGCTGATGCCCTGGGCTCGCAGGGCCTTGTACCAGAACAAATACGTAGTACAGACGACGGCAAAGTTGATGAGCTGCGAGGCGGTGACGAGCGAGACGAACCAGTCCAGGACCTTGGCGGCGTTGCTCTCGAGCTGCAGAAAGGCCAGCAGCGCGAAGCACAGGACGAAGCCGACGCAGTAGACGGGCACGCCCGCCCTGGTGCACTTGGTCATGAACTTGGGGGCCTTACCCTCGAGGGCCAGGCCGTAGAGCGAGCGCGACGCGCAGTAGACGTACGAGTTGCCAGCGGAGAAGGCGGCCGTCAGGACCATGGCGTTGACGATGTGCGGCAGGACGCCGATGCGCAGGCGGTTCATGGCGACGACGTAGGGCGACGCGGCGGCACCGGGCTCGGCGTTCTTGAAGGCGGCGGTGAGGACTTCGTCGTCGTAGGGAACCAGGATGCCCACGCAGAGGGCGCCGAGGACGAAGAAGGCCGTCAGTCGGTAGAAGACGGCGTTGTAGGCGCGCGGCATCACGACACGCGGGTTCTCGGCCTCGCCCGCCGCCATGGACACGTAGTCGGGCCCTGCGATGGTAAACGCTGCCTGGATGAGGCACTGCAGGAAGCCGAGCCACTTGCCTAAGGCGCCATCATAGTACAGCTCTGCAAAGGCGCCCGGTTCGCGCCAGTAGCGGAACCCAAATCGATCACCCGTGGGATTCCCGCCAACCATGACGATGAACGTAAAAGCGATAAGACCAACCGCGAGCAATACCTTTCCAACGGCAGCCCAAAACTCAGTCTCGCCATACCACTGCACGGCAAGGACGTTGATGAGGGCGTAGAGGACAATGATGATGACGATGACGGCGGCGGTGGGGATGACGTCGGTCCAGAAGTGCAAGATCAAGTTGCAGGCGACGACCTCGAAGGGCACGAGGGCGGCCTCGAAGACGAAAAAGTTCCAGCCGGCGGCGAAGCCGAACGCCTCGTCGACGTAGCGGCCAGCGAAGCGGATAAACGGCGACGAGATGGGCAGGTAGGTGACCATCTCGGCCATGCAGAGCGTGACGGCGAGGATAAAGGTGCACCAAAAGGCAAAGGCGATGAAGAGGCTGCCGGGGCCGCCCTTGAGGAGGCCCTTGCCGATTTGGACCTACAATACTAGTCAGTCATGCCATTGGGCATTGGGCTAAGACGGTGCAAGAGAGTGGGATAGCGGGAGTTGATGGCGACTTACATACAGGGCGGTGCCAATGGTGCCGCCAATGCCAATGAGCTGAATGTGCCGCGACTTGAGCTTGCGGTGGGTGGCGTCGCGGCTCGGCACGCCGCTGCCGCTCGACAGCGAGACCCGGGCGACGGGGCCGTCGCCGCCGAGGACATCCTTCTTGGCCCCGTCGCTGCCGCTGCCGGCGCCGGAGAGGCCCTTTTCCTGGTCCGAGGCGTAGGCCGGGGGCTGGTTGTGTGCGGCTGCGTCGCGCGCCATGGTGCCTAGGGGATCAGGGCGAGGAGCCGCCGGAGATATGGATAGGGAGGAGGAGGGCGAGGGGAGTGAAGAGGAGCGAGGTCGTCACCGTGAGACGGGCATGTGGGGTTGGTGATTCTCCGCCGGGGGGGAAGCGTCGCAATCGACGGGTGTGTCGCGTGCGAGCGCGCGTGCGTGCGTGTGTGGCTCGCCGTTGTGAAACGGCGTGTGCTGCTACTGCCGCGCTGGTGAGGCAATTGGCGATGGGGCGAGTCGCGGGGGACACACTGCAGCGGTGGTGTTGACTACCAATGTAGAACAAACACCGTCACTCTCGGTCTACGCAAAAAACCGCAGGACGAAAACACCTTGAAGCAATTGGCAAAGTGAAGAGATCGAGCGGCAAGCGAGAAAAGAGGAAAGTGAGCGGCAAAGCCCACAGAGATAAAGCCTCAGGTCACAAAAACCGGTCCGTCGCTCGCTCGCTCGCTCGCCGTGCCCGCCCGCGGCCGAGGCCTCGCCGAAAGCAGCGGGTCTGTCCGTCCGCTCGCTCCAAACGGTACGAGGACGCATGCCATGCCTGTTTCTGTTTCAACCCCCCACCGGCTGCCGCTACCACTGCCACTGCCACTGACGACGGACTGACCAATACAAGCACCGGCTTTTGATTTTACTACTACGTACTGCCTATTTCACAAGCAATTCGATCCGTCGACGCGCGCAGGCGGGCGGATTCGCCGTCCCCTGGACTGGACTGGAGCTTTTCGTCCCTCCCCATCCCAATTTTTTTTTCCTTTCCTGCCAATCCTCCTGGCGGGGGTGGGCGCTCTGTCTGGGGCCCCATTGAACTAGAGGGAGACGGACTGGAGGACCCCCATACAATAGACTGCTCGCTTACGATCCTGATTCTGAATTCCTGATGCTGAGTTGCGTCTGGTCCGGGGCCGCCCGCCTGCGCACGCAGCGTTCTCCGTGTTGCAGTGTCTTCGTCTCCAGGTCGAGTCGACAGGCAGTACGAAGTCCACGGGAGCGGCGCCGTTGGGTCTGACGGCCTCCCGGCACGAGGACTAGACGACGACGAAGAAGATGACGACGTCGTCGATCATTTCAGCCCACCCCGTCAGCTTTTCCAGGCCGCTGTTACACGGCAGGGCCCCCAGACGCTCACTCACTCAGCTGCTCGCTCAGCCAAGCCAAACCAACACGCCGGGTATTTAGTGACTCGCGGATGCTCCCAGCGCCGCAGCACGCGACGAGCGAATAAACTCCCTCCACGGGCAAGCCATGTTCGCGGCACGCCGACAAGCCACCCAGATCCGTTGCAGCCAAAAAGTTTCCAGACCCGGGCGCCACCGCCGATGGAAAGAAAAACAAAGGCCAGGCCGCTCGCTCCCTGTGGCCTTGATTACAACCTTGCTTTCTTCTGCCTTGCTTTTACGCTTGCCTTCCTGCTAACTAAGTTAACGTGCTCGAACGTGTCGCTAGCCCCCTCGCCAAGCATCTTCACCATCGTCCGTCCGGTCTTTCGGTCTCACCGCCCCTCCCCATCCTCCTCTATCCCCCCCCGGTCTCCTCACCCCTCACCACTCACCACCCATCACCCCTCGTCGGCTGGCACCGGTGGCCAGAGGCAAAACTGGCCATGACGTCGTTGCTCACCTGGCGCTGGCCTGAGTCCCCCTCCCCCTGGCCGCCTTTGGGGGCCGGTCGCACGACACTCATGCACACAGCTGGCTGGCGTGTTGGTCGCAGGGTGCACAGCCCACCTAGGCACCGGTGGAATCCATGAGGGAATGATGGCATGGACAACTGCGACGTGACAGAGCATCCTCACTGCTCCGCACATTTACAGAGAGTATTTGACTACTGTAAGGTACAGTACGGACGGACGCAGTATATGCGTACGTACCTACATACGTACATACACATGCACTTCATACGTACATACACATGCACCTCATACGTACATACATACATGCTCGCACGCACCGATACTCTACCATCCATCTCCAATTCTGACGGACGGGCCCTCATCATCCATCCCCCACGGGCATGCGGCGGCCCTCCCCCACTGCCCGCCCACCTCACATCATTCGCTGCCCCCGCTGGACGGACCATCACATGCGCGCCATTAACTAGCAGCAGCAGCAGCAGCGAATCACTCACCACCTAACCAACGACTTGGCTTCCAGGTTGTTGGTAATTCATGGTTTTCGCCCGCCGCGCATTCGCCGTCGTCCACGTGCGCCTTTCCCTCCTGTGGTGGGGTGAGGTCAAGTCCTGACTGCCCAACGACACTTGGCCGAGCATCATCGCCGCGGGACGGATGACTGCGTCGCCCAACATGAACACGTCAAGAAATGCCACGAGAATGTATAGAGCCTGTTCAACGATCATAGCTGGCCGTAATGTGCTTTATCGTGCCTGGTATGTAGTATTCGTATCGTATTTCATTACTCCGTAGTTACCTGTAATCAACAGACCCAAGAAAAAGGAGACCGTCATCTCATTCAAGCTTCAAGCCTCGCCCACTCCCTCTCTCCCACTCCCTCGCCCCCCTTCCTCTCCCGTCTCAACCCGCACGCATATGCATATATTTCCCCTTCTTCCCTCTTTCACCCCATCTCTCTCCCGCAATGCATCGGAAACAAACAACCAGCCAGCCGCACTCCTTGGAAAACCCGCACCCCAACCTCCAGCCCGCAGCCTTCTCTTTTGTTCGTCAACGTCAAGACGTGCATCAAACTGGGTATCGTCCAAAATCAACGCTGCCAATCCCCCTCCCCCTTTCCCCCGATGTTGACCAATCTGTTCTTCTACTTCTTCCTCATCCTCCATGAGCAAGCTCACAGCTCGTCTTTGGCGTGCTGCACCGACTCCTTGACGGCCTCGGTCGCCTGGCTCGCCGCGCTGCCCACCTTGGAGCCCACGCTCGCGGCCCGTGCGCTCGCCTCGCTGGCCACGCTGCTCGCGCTGGCCGACGCCGTCGAGTACACGGCCTGGAATCGCGACCACACGCTCTCCGTGAAAGCCGGCTCCTTGCCGCTCACCAGCTCCGACAGCATCTCTCCCACCGCGGAGTACTGGTCCTCGGCCTTGGCCCGCGCCGTGATGGCTGCGTCTGTCGCCGACGACACGCCCTCGCCGACAGTCTTGGTCGCCGAGGCGGCGCCGTCGATGAGCCCCTCGAACCAGCCGATGGCGGTGGGCTCACCATAGACGTTGCCACTAATCTCAGCCACGATGTTGTCCCACCGCTCGGCGATGGCGGAGCCCGCAATGTAGATTTGCTCCCCAGCCGCGTCCACGACAGACGCAAAAGAGTCTTCGACCTCCTTGGCCGCCGACACGACGCCCTCGGTCGCCGCCGAGTAGGCAGATCCGGCAGCCTCTCCTGCGGCGTTAGCGACCGAGGACGCAGACTCGCTCGCGACCGAAGCCAGCGACGATGCGGAGCCAACGAAGTCCGTCGGCGTCGGCGTTGCCGTGACCGAGGACCAAGCCGCCGAAGCCGCCGAGATGAAGCTCATGTACCGGTCCTGCGCCAGCCCGAGGCCAGCATAGTACTGCAGCTTAGCCTGGTTGACGAGCTTCTCGGAGCCGGAAGTCGGTGTCGGAGTCGCCAGGCCCATCGCCAGCAGAGCGCTGTGGTACTGGATCTCGGCCCACATGCGCCCCTCGTTGAGCCGCTGTGCCGCGATCGCTTCGACCTTGTGCCAGTTGACGGGCGAGGTGGTTGTCGGCGTGGGCTTGCCGTAGATGCCCGTCGAAGCAGCCTGCACCGCGTCCTTCAGCTTGTGGCTGGCGGCCGCGACCGCGTTGTCGTATGCCGCAGACACGGAAGCAAACAATTGATCGTGAACCGGCTTGGGCGTTCCGTAGACCTGCGCCGAGACAATAGACATGGCGCTCGAGTACTTGTCCGACGCCAGCGACACAGCGTTGGAGTAGGCGTCCTGTGCAGCGCTCGTAGCGCTTCCGATAAGGTCGCCTTCGGGCTCGTCATCCAGGATCGGGCCGCGCTGAGAGACTTTCTGCGCGGCGGCGCCGAACATGGCTGCGTGTACTGTTGGTGTTTCGCTTGGCTGCGATGGTTCGTCCTTTGGCTCGGTGCTCGACTCAGTCTGCTCTTCAGCAGCATAGTCCGCCTCTGCGGCCTCTGGGATTATCGTGTCCGCCGGTTTCTCCTGCACCGCCGCCGTCGTTTCTGTCGAGTCTGTGTCTCCAATCTCGTCCGGCGAGCCTGCTTCGATTAGCAGATGGTTACTTGGCATTGCCATGCGACTAACCGAGGATAATAGGCTCTTCTATAGGTTCGGCAGGCTCTTCTCGTGCCACGGGCGTCTCCTCGGTCTTCTCACCAAAGGCAACGCTGGATGCCATGCTGCTGGCCGCGCTGAGCTGTTCCTTGACCGCCTCGGCGACCACGCTCGCTTCGTCCACGACCACCGACGTAGCTGAAGAGGCGGCATCGGCGACATGCTCGGCCGTGGCCGTCGCAGCCTCCTCAACGGCGCTGGAGAGGTCCTCCACCGACAGGCTTCCCGCCTCGGCGGCGTCACCAAGAACTTGCTGTGCCTCGTCCAATTGCTCGGCAACCGTCTCTTCCACCTCTTGCTTCTTCTGCGCAGCCTCTGCCGCCAGCCGCATGGCCTCGGACTCGAAGTTGTCGGTGGCGTCTTTGGCCAAGATCTTCCACCGCGCCACCTCCTTAAGCCTTCCGAGCTCTCGCGCCGCCGTAGCAGCCATGGTCATGCCCTCGTCCTCGACCTGAGCGGAGGCGTCCTGAGCCTCCAGCAGAGTCGGGTGCGTGACGATGAGCTGCTTGAGCTCGTCGGTCCACTGCGTGAGCGTGTTCTTGAGCTCGTGGTACTTGGCCCAGTCCTTGTACGTCACGCCGTCGGTCCACGCCCACTTCATGCCAATCTGCTGGAGAGCAAGACCCCTGGTTTCGTCGAGGATCTGGAAGTGGACGTCGGCAGCACCGATGACCGTCTCCTGCAGCTCGGCGTCGTAGTCCTCCCGCCAGCCGCGGATAATCTGGGCCGCCTTCTTAATGGCGACGCCAGCGGCTCGGACGGCGGCGACGGCCTTTTCTTCCGCATTCTCGGAGCCTTCCTCGACGATGGATGAGATCTTGGTCTTGAGCGCCGCGAGTTCAGAGTCAATGGTCGCCTCGAGCTGTTTAACCAGTCCGTTGCCGGTGCCCTTGACGTTCTCCTCAACCATGCGGCGAGCGATTTCGTCAACGCGGTCCTCCATATCGGCAGCGCCCTCCTCGGCCTGCGCGGCAAACTTATTCTGCCACAGCTCGAGATCCTGGGCAACCATCTCCCGAGCCCTGCGGCGCTTGTCGCTCTCGTTCTCAGTGGGCGGTGGGGCCTCGACGGGGTTCGCGTAGTTGCTGGGAGTCTCGGTAGGCTCTTCGGTGTCCGTAGTCGCAGCGACCGTGGGCTCGTCGGCCGTTGCCGAAGGCGCGGTCGAGCTCTGGGGCGTCGGCTTGCTGAAAGAGGACGAGACAGCATCGGGCGCCGCGCTTTTTTCTGCAATTAGCCTACCATCTTGGTCGTGAGCTGCGAGAAATCTTACCTAAACGCCTTTTCCCGGAGCACCCTCGACTTAGTCTGGTTCTTGTACCGTCCGAGGCGCTCGCCAATGCGCACCAGCTGGGGCTCCACGTTGTCGACGTAAAGCACGCGCAGCTGAGGCCACACGGTGGTATCGAGGAAGACATTTGTCTTGTTCCAGGCCCAGTAGGCCGCAGGGAGCGCCGTGTCGGTGGTGAAGCCGGACGCGGCGTCATAGCCCTGGACTGCATATGGCTGTACGAATTCGTAGCTCGGTAGGAGATAGTCATAGTAAAGCTGTAGTCCGTTGGTCTTTGCGATGTCGTAGTATGGCCCAACAGCCTCGCTTGCCCTGGTCAGGTGCGGAGCGATGGACTGGTCATAGCGTGAATGTGTGAGCTCTTGGATGCGGGCAACTTGAGGCTGTCCGTTGGTCTCCCACTGCGCGCGGGCAAAGTCCTGCCCCTTCTTGACCCAGGGGGCGCTGTACTGGACGGCGTAGATGCGAGTCGGGGTCAAGACGCGCGAGTTGACCGTGTCGTAATAGGGGCGGGCGACGTCGACATAGGGCGCGGCGTACTGGTCGTAGTAGGGCTGAACGTGCGGCGAGACGGCGTTCTTGGCTTGGAAGTAGTGCTTGCAGATGAAGGGCGAGGACTCGTCGCAGGCCTCGAGCGACGAGGGGCATCGGAAGAGGATGGTGAGGATGGCGGACCACGTCGCGAGCCTGCGGCGCGTTTCTGTCAGTTACGATGGCGAGGGACCTGTGGACGGGCGATGATGAGAAATGACGAACCTCGCGATGAGACTGACGGCCCAGGCCATGAAGCCACGCCTTTGCCTGGCCGTCGTGCGTGTCTTGACCGGCTTGCCGTTGTTAAGCTTGCCGTTGGCGTGGGCAGCGCCGTTGCCGGGCTTGAGAGCGCCGCTGGGCTCGGCCATGGCTGGCAGGATGCTATCGCGCTCCGGCGACGTCGGCGATCGGGCTCGAGCTGCTGGAGATTTGCTGTCGTAAAAAATGGGTTGTCTGAGGAGGGAGCGACGCTCGGGGCTCTCGCTGGCGAGGAGCGGCGGCGCGGCGGATCAAATGGAGGCGGAAGACGACGGGCGGATTGGCGAATCGAAGGCGGGCGGGCCCAGCAGGTGCGACGAACCAACAGGCCGAAGAATGATGCAGGTCGACCAGTGCATCCGACGCCCGCGGCAGCGAAGCAAAGACGCGGTCGGGATTGGGGGGGAGGTCGTTTTTGGTTCGGGGGCTGCGTGAGCCGGAGCACGGAGGTTGAAGGATGGACGTGACGGGACGCGGTCGCGATCTGGGGGGAGCTTCTTTGGAGCGTCAGGTCTTGTAGCCTGGCGGGACGGAACCTGGAAGCTTCAATCCCAGTTTTTTCTGCCTGATGCGGCGAGCTGGTGGAGCTGCAGGGGGGGGAGGGGGCACGCTAACGATGAGGTGAAGCAGGGAAAAGGCGTCTGGTGTCTCCCGCCGTCAGAGGCTTCGTCTGGGCGCACGGCGGGCGGGTTCGTCGCGGTGAAGAAACGCGGGACGGGAAGGAAGCTCTAAAAAAACTATCGACTTGCACCACCGCACCTTGGCGTGTTTATCTCTGGTCAATCTACTAACTTCGGATGATGCTGCTCTCATTACCGGCCAGCGATGGGGTGGGAATCCAGCCGGGGCGGCGGTGACGTTTGGCCGCGCGCCGTGCATCTGCAAGCGTCGCTGATCTCGCACGCACGCGCGCGACGAGATCCCGAGGCACGTCATTGCTGAAGGCCGTCGCCGCTGGACCAGCTCCCAGCTCAGCTGTCTGGGTGGTCTCAGCTGCCCGCTGAGGCGCTGCGGTGCCCACCAGCTTTGCCGCCACTCCACCACCACCACACCTGGCCTGGCACCCGTCGCAGAGGCCGCCATCGGGCGTCCATTGGCTCGTGACAACGTGATAACGTAGGAACCATGAAATGTAGACCCTCCCAAGCAAGGCATCATCGACATCGAACCGCGCCGCGCAGATAGGTAGCTGCCATGGTGGCATTATTAGCCTGGACGAATGTCGCCGCCATCATCAGGATCAGGGAACCGTTCCCCGTGCACACGCCGGGCTGCATGACATCAAGGTCCCCCCGACCACCGGCGGCAGGAGCCTCTGCTCCGTCCATTTACAGCCTCTCGTTCCCGCTGTGCATGCAGCCACGGTCAGGTTGCCAGCTGCTCGCCCATCGAGTCGTGACGCATCTACGACGGGAATGGTTCGGGCCCAGCCGCAGAGTGCGATGACTGGCATTACTTCGTACAACTGCTAGGGACTACTAGCGATCCAACAGTAATACGTAGAGGCCAGTAATTTATGATGCTCTCACCAGCTTTGCGAGAGATGGCCAGGCGAAACAAGGTCTGGATACCTTATCTAGGCAGTCTTGCCGCGGTCAACCTTGAGAACCTGCAAGACCTCCATCACGGCCAGCTCAGTCAGGTTCCACTGGGAGAGCCAACTGACACCCGTGGACGGACGTGGATGCCACCGTGGACGGGCAGCCAGCCTGAACACCTAGGTCCGTCGCTGACAACAGGTCGGGACCCTCTGGTACCAGCCGTTGCACGCTGACGCAGGCAGCCGCGCAGTACCCTCGAGTACCCCGCCGAAGGCCATTCACGGCCACCCACGTCCCAGACCCTGAGCCGTCGCGTGAGCCTGCCCGTGGCTAGCCTCGCCTGGCCTCCCGTTGCCGCCTCGGTGGACCACCCCGCCACCACACTCAGCACCACCGACAGTGCGCCCAGCGCAGCGCCAGCACACTGCAGAGCACCGTGGACCCGACTGCGGCTGCTGCACCACCCGGGCACGTTAAACCCTGAGGTGGCCACCTACTCACCACTGTCGGCCGTGCCGCTGCCCGCCAAACGCCGCCAACTCAACTCAACTCAACATCATTGATGCCGCTTCCTCCTCCTCAACCCTCCTTTTAACCCCCGCCACCAAGGCTCCCCACGGCTCCTTTTCCTTGCCGTGCAATAGCCCAAGGCTACGGTTCCATTATCCTTTCATCTACATCGTTTAATATTTCCTACCGCTCACCGATCCAGCGTCGTCGCTGCTCGCGTTGCACAGCGGCGAGAAACGCCACAGGCCACCATCATTTCCCGAGCCGAGCCCCGTCTTCGCCTCCGACCTCGACCCCCAAGGCCGCCACCTGCGATAGATACCCCGTCCCATCGCCCACATGACCTCCTCGGCGCTCTCCTCACGATAGTCTACGGACCGAACCCCCACGAGGAACCGCCGTTCCTCCAGCCATGGACCGTTCCGAGCCGCGCCCGAGCCGGCCCTCCGCCCACCTCCAAGCCCAACCGCACGATGCCGCGCCCGCCATCTGCCGAATATGTCGAGGCGAGGGCACCACCGCCGAACCTCTCTTCTACCCCTGCAAATGCAGCGGGAGCATCAAGTTCGTCCATCAGGACTGCTTGATGGAGTGGCTGTCGCATTCACAAAAGAAATACTGCGAACTCTGCAAGACGTCGTTCCGCTTCACCAAGCTCTACGCCCCCGACATGCCAAAGTCGCTTCCCGTCCACGTCTTCCTTGAGCACATGGCGAGATATCTGCTGCGGAACATGCTCGTCTGGCTGCGCGCCTTCGTCTCCATCAGCGTCTGGGTCTGCTGGCTGCCCTGGTTCATGCGCGCCGTCTGGTCCTTCATGTTCTGGATCAGCGACGAGGGGCTCGGCGGCAGCTCCCTGCTTTCGAGGGCCAACACCGCTGTCGACACTTCTTCGTGGCTGTCGGCCGCCCTGGCCGACATTGGCACCACGCCGACCACCCCGCTCCTCCCACAAACCACCACGTCCGCCGCCGAGGCCGCCATCATTCTCCAGGGCCTCGGCAGCGAGGACATGTCCGAGTACCTCGTTCGCATCCTTCTCGGCTCCTGGGGCATGCCCGTCAAGTTCGGTCGGTCCGCCGTCGACGGGACCTTGGCCACAAACAGCTCCGCCCCCAGACCGTCTAATGGCACCGCGCCGTCGTCTTCGTCACTCCTCGGGGATGTCGGCTTTCTCAAGCAACTCACGCCCAGCCCGATGCTCAACCGAACCATTGTGAGCGTCCTCGAGGGGCAGATCATCACTGTCCTTGTCATCGTCTGCTTCATACTCGTCATCCTCGTCAGAGACTACGTCGTGCAACAGCAGCCAGAAATCAACCTGCGCGCCGCCTTCGACGACCCGGAGGGCGAGGACTTGGTGGAGGAACCCGTCGAACAGGAGATCGGTGTGCGCGTGCTCAGAGAGGCGGGCGAGTCTGAATCCGAGGGAGAAGCACCTGAAGACGACGCCGCCACCTACGAGGAAACAAGGGTTGTTGAGGAGCCCGAAGCTGGGCCTGCGCCAGCGCTGACAGAAACCGGAACACCTGCTGCCGAGCAAGATCCAGAGATTGCCTCCCAAGAGGCGGCGCATCTGGGAGATGAGCCTAGTGACAGACTTGTCAATCGCGCGGCATCCTCCGACGACGATTCCGATGATCCTTCTAGTGTGATCGATTATCTCCGCATCTACCGTCGGGCGAGCGGCGACTCGGAGAGGATCCTCCAGATCGTCGAGGAGGAAGGCCTGGAGGACAAGCTCAGTTACTGGGTTGATGTTACCCGCCGCTCCATCACAAAGCGTGAGGACATTGCTCGCGAATTCTCCATCATCTTGAACCGGGAAGCCGGGCATCGCACCAGGCCGGATGCCGCCCATCCCTCGGACCCAGGCAGCGACCCGATATCCTTCGAGGCGGACCGCCCAAGAGACGAGCCCAAAGGCAAAGAGAAGGCGTGGGAGCCCGTTTCCCCCAGCTCTACCCCAGGACCGCAGCCTGGGTCGGCATCGAGACCTCGGGCAATATCAGATGGCCCTCAGCTTCACTCCACGGTGAATCCTCTGGGAAGCAACAATTGGACGTTCGAAGGGTTGCCGTCCGACGACAGCGCCGAACTCGACGAGCCGAAATTGCCAAGCCCACCTACTGAGAGAAGTTCGACGCCTTTGCTTGGAAACGGCGCGGCTACTGTTCCATTCCACGGTGACTTAGTCGCTGACGAACACGAATCACATCACCACCACGAGCCCTCAGACGAAGATGATGAACTAGTTCAGCACTGGGAACCAGCGCAACCGGCCGACGATATTCCCGCTCAACCCGAGAGACAACACGTTGGGCTGGGAGACAGGGTCGCAAACTTCATGTGGGGGAATCTCGATGACCAGCACAATGCTCAGGAGGCAGACGACCACGCCGACGACGACGGCTGGGTCGACGTTCCTGTAGACGAGGACCAGGACGACAACGTCGATGCCGATGCCGACGTTGGAGAGGTGGACGGCGCCGCTCCTGGCGGTGGTCTAGACCCCGAGGCCATCGAAGACATGGAAGACTTTGAGGGCGTCATGGAGCTCATCGGCATGCGTGGCCCCATCGCCGGCCTCTTCCAGAACGCCATCTTCTGCGCCGTCCTCGTGTCCGTCACCATATTTGCCTGCATATTCATCCCGTACAACATCGGACGGCTGTCTGTGTGGGTCGTGGCGAATCCGATACAGTTGCTGCGCATGCTCCTTGAGTTCTCCAAGGTGGTGCAGGACGCCAGTGTCATGGTCGGCGGCCTGGGCTCCTGGTGTGCGCTCAACTTTGTGGACATGTTTACTGGCATCGTTGGCGGCGCCGTCGGGGCAAATATAGTGAGCGCGCGAAAGGCCTCCTGGGGCCTCTGGACCGCCGCGGGCAAGAGAGTCATGGAATACGCCTTGCTGGAGTTTCCCATGTCGGCCACCGAGATGCAAAACTTCTCGGCCATCAGCCATGAGGCCTTGAACTCTGTCAAGGCCAGCATCGTTTCCGCCTTTGGCAGTGTCAACGCCCTCACCTCGGCTTGCGCGAGCCTGACTGACGGCAAGTTCATGGCTGCGACGGCGGCTGCTGCGAGCTCGGCGGCGGCTAGCGCCAGAGCCGTCGCCGCGATACTCGTCGACCCCAGCTCGTGGGTCATTGATCTGAGTGGAAGTGAGGTGCGCCCTCCTGTCGACCCTGCTCTGGCGCACTGGTCTGGGTTGGACCGCTTCTGGGCCATCCTGGCAGGATACGTCGCCATCTTTGCCGTCGGGGCCATGTACTTGAAGAGAGGCACGCCATTCTCTCGCGGCAACATGCTGCAGGCTTGGGAGGCAGGCGTGATCGATACGCTACACCAGGCCAGCGGCATCATGAAGGTCATTCTCATCATCAGCATCGAGATGCTTGTGTTTCCCCTCTACTGCGGTCTCCTGCTCGACATTGCCTTGCTGCCGCTCTTTGAAGACACGACGGTTCGGTCGCGGGTTCTCTTCACGTACAACTACCCTCTGACGTCCGTCTTCGTGCACTGGTTCGTTGGCACCGGATACATGTTTCACTTTGCGCTATTTGTATCCATGTGCCGCAAGATAATGCGACCAGGCGTGTTATGTAAGACACCACCCTGAGCCTGACCGAGGATCTGGCGCTCACTGACTTTTGGCAGACTTCATCAGAGACCCCGATGACCCCGAATTCCACCCGGTACGCGACGTGCTCGAGCGCAACCTCGCCACGCAGCTTAGGAAGATTCTCTTTTCGGCGTTTGTGTACGGTGCGCTTGTCATCGTTTGCCTCGGCGGAGTGGTCTGGGGGCTGTCGTACTCGGCACCCGGCGTCCTGCCCATCCACTACTCGTCCAACGAGCCCGTTCTCGAGTTTCCCGTCGACCTCTTGTTTTACAACTTCCTCATGCCCCTGGCGGTCAAGGTGTTCAAGCCGGGCGATGGCCTACACATCATGTACACGTGGTGGTTCCGCAAGTGTGCACGCGGCTTACGTCTGACCTACTTCCTCTTTGGCGAACGGCGAATCGACGAAGAGGGCGATCTGCAGCTGCCCGCCGATTCACCAGACGCCAAATCTCGGTATAAGTCGCTGCTGCTCGAGCTAGACGAACACAATCGCGTCATCCCGAAAACGTGGCGTGACACCTTTGAGGGTGGTCGCGCGAGGCCAAACACCGCCATATCAAGCCGCGAGGAGCGCATCATGAGACGCAGGAAGCTCCACCTCGTCACGTCAGGCCAGCTTGTCAAGAGCGGTCGTTTTGTCCGAGCGCCGGCGTCAGATAGAGTCAAGATCCCGAAGGGCAAGAAAGTGTTCTTGACAGTGTCGGAGACTGGGCGCCGCCGCGACGGGAACGCCGACGACGACATCTACTCATCCAACCAATACCAGATGGTCTACGTGCCTCCCAACTTCCGGACACGCGTCTTCCTCTTCATCCTATTTATCTGGCTCTTCGCCGCGGTCACGGGCGTGGGCATCACGGTCCTCCCGCTCATGTTTGGGAGAGCAATGTTCAAGACGCTCATTCCAGAAGGCATCCGAACGAACGACGTTTACGCCTTCAGCATCGGCATCTACGTCCTTGGCAACGCGGCCTACGGCATTTTCCGCGCCCGCACCGTTGGTACCAAGGCCCGCAAATGGGCTCACGATGTTTGGGCCGAGCTGGTGGGACATGACGCTGCTAGGCGCATATTCTCGAGCCTCGTACGTGCCGCGAAGCTTTTTTATGCGCACTTCTTCCTCTTAATTGCGTTTCCCCTCCTCTTCTCGACGCTCATGGAGTTGTACGTGTCCATCCCGCTGCACACGTACATGAACCCTCCAGCGGGCTCGGCAGGCAAAGCGAGCGCAGGCGCCGACCGCCATACGGTCCGCATCATCCAGGCCTGGACACTGGGCGTCTTGTACCTGAATCTCGGGACGAGGATGCTCACCTCCGTCTTCCCCAATAGCCGTGCAGCCATGGCCGTGCGAAGCGTTCTGCGCCGAGGATGGCTGCGACCCGACATTGCACTTTTGACGAGGGCGTTCGTTGTTCCGGGCATAGCCATCGCTTTGGCGGCCATACTTGGTCCTCCGCTCATGGCGAGCCTCCTCATCAAGGCAAACGTCCTGAGCAACAAGACGGGGGCAGACGGAGCAGGGGCGGCCCTGGTGTACCGATACTCGTATCCCGCAGCGGCGCTGGCTGCTCTTGCGGTTAGGCACGCCGTGGGCATGGCGGGAGTGTTCAAGGGCTGGAAGGTTGGGATCCGCGACGAGGCATACTTGATCGGCGAGCGGCTGCACAACTTTGGCGCCGCGACCGCGGGGGCTCGGAAAGGCAAGAAAGCATGGGCGAACGGGCGTCCGCGACTGTGAGGCGGGCGCCCGACTTGTACAAATCATGTGTAATGAATGCGTGTATGATACCTGGCTGCTGCCGCGGCAGCCGCCCAACGTGTTGCCGGCCAGTCTTTTGGAGACTGGCCGGGGCAGAGTAGACTGATACCAGACATAGCCGTACATTCAGCTTTGGCAGCGTTGATTCTAGCCGTGGGTGCGCATGCGCATGTGAATGTTGACACGAATCTTCGCTGTTGTTTGTGGTGTTGTGCAAGGACTTGGCTACCCTGCACCACGACGCAGTTGGCGACTATCAACCAGGAGAGCTCCGGTTTACAGAGAGTAAAGTCGATGGCAGGTTTGGCTGTATATGTTCCAAGCGGGAAAAGCATTTTAGGGATCCAAAAACTGCGTCGAATATGTCGACTGCTTTGAGAGCAGATGTTCAACTGGGAGCACCACCCGTGCTCAGTACACATACGTGTGCGTCTCCGTCAGCGGAGACAGTGTGGTTATAAATAGCAACGTTTCGCAACGGCCGCAGGATGCCGGCAATCTTCTTCACAATGCAGCCAGACACAGACCTGCGTACAGTGCAAACGTATGTGCGTACCATCTACGACTCCAACAAAACGTCAGTCGGGCCGTCGCGGGCCACCGTCTGCACACGCCGAGCCAGGCCAGGCGGTCTCGATGCGGTGAGGGCAGAGAGTTCAGTCAGTTCCGTCCAGTCGTCAAGGTCCCGCTTTCGCCTGGTTGCCCATGACGCCAGGAACTAGTCCCGAAGCGGCAAGGTGGCCAAGCTGGCGCCGCCCCTGCAGCGGAGGGTCCCCAAGCACCACCCCCTGGGCTCTGTCCAGGCACCGCGAGCTGCTGCTGGAGCGCCCTGTGGTGACGCGCTGTAGCGCCACAGAAGGACGGCCACCTCACTGCCCCCCCGGCGGCGCAAGCAGCTGGGAGCGTCAGTTGTCGTCGCATAAACAGTCCAGTCACGAGCCAAAACATGGAACGCCCGGTACGTGCAACCACCACCACCGCCGCCGTCGCCGCCCGCCGTCCGCCCATCGACAACCCCGGACGTGCGTTTTGGCTCTCGCAGCCACCGACAACGACGACAACCGACGACGACAAACGACCAACGACGACGACCCCCCGAGGTAAGTGCACTGGCTGCCTCATCGACTGGCAGACCAGCGCGCGCAGTACCGCCATCGACCACCCGCTCACCGACGTCTCTTTGTTGTCTCTCCTTTCACCAGCAAGGAGGGGCTTCTGTTGGGCGACGCCCAAGGGGGGAGAACACGACCACCGAAACCCCTTAGACACTGCATCCCTGTGAGTGAACACGGTTGCAGCAGCAGCACGTCGCCGAAGACGAAGGCGAATCCAGACTGATGCGATGCGGTGTCGTGCGTGCATCTCGTTAGGCGCTGTCCGTTCTTGAGCTCTCGCGACAGACTCGTCTGTGCGCTTCGCTCGCTCGCCATTCCCAGCTTCACCGATTGCTGTCCGCCCACGACGCAGCAGCACCCATGCTCTTTTGCATCTTTTGCACCATCGCGACGCGCCGAATTCCCTTTTGTCCGACGACAGCGACATCCCCTACGTTCGTTCTTTGTCCGACCGTTTGACGGATCCCGCCGGCCCCTCGTCCACGACGAATGTCTGCAGGAGCCCGCGTTTGCTTTGAGCCCAGGGCGCAAACGACCGCACCGTCGGGACACGTAGGACCATCTCACACACCCAGATAGACACAGGACCATAGACACAGCAATGGCCGAGCCCCCCTCTTCGCCTCCCAGCGAGGCCACCAGCTCCGAGGATGCCCTGTCCTGGTACAAGGCCCAGTACGAGCTGCTCGAGTCGGAGCTGGCCGAGTTTCGCGAGTCGAGCCGCGAGCTCGAGCAAGAGCTGGAAAAGGACATTGAGCGTGCCGAGAAGCAGGAGCGGGTTCTGCAGGAAAGGGCCGAGACGCTCGGCTTCGAGGTAGAGGAGTGGAAGGTTGGCTTGCGAACCCCCTGCGACGAGAGGCAACTGATGCTGACGGGCAGCAGCGGAAATACAAAGAGTCCAAGACGGAGGCCAGCGCGGCGCAAAACGCGCTCGAGAAGGAGATTACGACGCTCCGCGACTCGAACCGCTCCCTGCAGCTCAAGCTGCGCGACATCGAGGTGGCCAACGACGACTTTGAGCGCCAGGCGCGCAACACGACCTCGTCGCTCGAGGACATGGAGAGCAAGTACAACCAGGCCATCGAGCGCGCCGTCATGATGGAGGAGGAGATCAAGATGGGCGAGCAGGAGCGCGAGAACCTCCGCATCGAGTCGCAGCGCCTGCGCGAGGAGCTGGCGGACCTCAAGATTGAGGCCGAGCTGATGCAGGACAAGATCAAGAAGCACGAGTCGCGCCACCTCTCGACCATCTCGACGGACCTCTCCGTGCTTGGTTCCCCGACGTTCGACAAGAACTCGCCAGGCTCCACGGCCAGCTCGCCGCTCATCACGACGCCGCCCGACACCAAGTCGCTGTCCACCGACGACACCGTCTCCGAGGTGCACGACCCGCCGTCGCCGCCCATGTCGGACGCTTCGGCATCGATGCGCAAGTCGATGGCCAGGGCCCCCGGCATGTACGGCTCGCTGCCGCGCAAGTCGCGCCTACCGTCGCTCGACAGCAACGCGACGCCTAAGCCGCGGACGCAGCCCAGCATCGGCACGCTCAGCCGCGCTGCCGCCGGCCCGCGCATGTCGGGCGGCGCGTCTCTGCGCACGCCGGCGAACCGATCGACTAGGACCCGGCCAACCACGCACAAGCTCCCCGCGTCCAACTCGCTGACGCACATCCGCTCACTGACGGCGCAGATGCAGCGGCTCGAGGCGAGAGTGCAGTCCGCACGGTCAAAACTGCCCGCCCCGACCAACACACCTCCCAGGGCGTCGCCTAGGTCCGCGAGCACGGCGTCCAACGTGCCGGCATCGGTTACGATCCGATCCCGGAAGCGCACGAACGGATCCGCCGCCTCGTCCTTGGCTGGCGACGATACGACACCGACGGGATACAACCCGCGCGCGTCGACGACTAAGAGCCACGTTCCGCGACTTAGCACGTCGGGGATCAACAGGCTCTCTTTTGGACCGCTGCCCAACCGCGGCGGACCCGAGTCGGACATGAGCCGGCCGAGCTCGCGGGCTAGCATCTCGTCGTACGCCAGGCCGGCCTCCCGGAACGACATGATCGCGCCGCCGCGGCCCGTGTCGAGGACGTCGATGACGGGTGCGAGGACGCCACTCGGGCGGCCGCGGTCGTCGCTGTCGATGAGCGGGGCGGTGCAAGGCCACGGCTACTCGGCAAGCATCGGGCGCGCTGCCATGGAAGACCACCACGGCGACGAGCGGACGCCCAGCCGCAGGGGCACGTACTCGAAGATGGAGCTGGAGGCGGGTGTTAGCGGCATCCCCGTCCCAGGCAGCGCGATCCCGACGCCAGGTACGAGGAGACAGAGCGGAGGTAGGCGGACCAGCGCCGGAGTCTCGAGCGGACGACCCAGCACATCCGGAGGGAAGAAGCTGGCCGACCTTGGCGAGACGTACTAACCGCCGTCCCGACAAAGGCTCGAATCCAGCTCACCGCCGGGCCTTTCACCTGCCGACGAGATTCTGGGGGCACTGAGAGGGCGGGTAAGCCATACCCGTCTGCTGCCCCCAACCATCGGACTGGACACCGCCGCACATATCGCCGCAACATACCATACCTACGAACCTAACCCATCATACTATACTATACCCGAGCGGCATCTTGGAGTTGGGTCCGCTTGATTTGTTTATTTGTTCACGGAGCACGAGAGACACGGCGAAGGAGGAGTTGAGTTCCTCTTTCACATGACGATGATTACGACGCGCAGCGCAAACACACACACACACACACACCATACAGCCAGCACACTCCGCACAGCACGTAGGAAGGGAGGAACGGAGTCCAAGCACAGTTGGAGTTTTTCTATTTTGTCATTTCGGCACCGGAACTAGGACTGCAAGGCGCATTGGCAAGGTATGAGGCTACTCTACCCTGCTCTGGCTGAGATTCAGAGGGACGAGTACCTCCTTGGCCTATTTTGCCGCTGTTGTGGCGGTGATACCGGAAGCCTGTGGGATGGGTCCGGGGACTGGGTACCTAATGATGGAGAAGGGGGGGTCCCCGGAGGAAAGGAAAGGAAAGGAATGGCGGGATGTGAGACTGACTGCATGGGGAACTGGAGGGACACGCCCACGCTACGCGCCGCGTTGAACGGAGGGCCACGGCACACGCACTTGTGCTACGTATACATATCGTTTCTTTTGTCAGGGGGATGGAGGTGTGGGGGGAAGGACGGTAGAAGAGTAGCGACGCAGACAGCTGCGTAGAGAGTGGAGAGAATGCAAAGGGGTGACTTGCGTGCATGCTCGGCTATTCTTTTGCCTTGGTGAAGCAAGTACTGCTAACCTTATGGATGTGCAATGCCCCGTCAAGCCGTGCAAGTCAGCGACAGACACAGCGGCACGAAACTGGAACGGGTTTGGCAGGGCAAGGCAAGGCCCGGTCCGACCCAGGCCGGAGAGGCATGAGTACTACCTTGGGTATGCCTGGGGGCCGGGCCGCGGAGTGGACGGGGAGGACGGAGACGGACGGACGGACGGAGGGGGACGGAGGTCCGGAGGGGAGCGGGCGTCCAGTCCCTGAGGTGGGATGTGGAGGTAGGTACCACTATCCTTGGGTAAGGTGAGGACAGGAGAGTACAGTAGATGCCGGCTAGGTACAGACTACGTGGGCGAAGGAATGGACCGGGTTGGGGGCATCGGGCAATTGGGTCTCAGCGGGTAAGTATTCAACATCAACATCGTCATCAACTGCCTATGTGGCGGGACGACTACGGGAGGACTGGGCCCGCAACCTGCCACGTATAATGGTGCTGAGGGTTATCTCTTTCATGTCAATCTTGTTGAGCAGCAGTAAGGTACGTAGCAAGCAAATCAACCCGCCAGGCTGCGGCTCTTTGAAAAATACGAGTACGAGCACAACAAGGTAACTGGGTAAAGCTTTGGTGTTGCCGCGAGAATAGCTGGAGAGCTGTTCGGCGCCGAACGGGTCGGGTGGTGGAGCCCGGGGTGCCAAAGATTGAGACCTATGGGTGATGGGGTTCCGCTGGGGGACGGAACAGGTTGACGGGGACGGACGGGGAGGGGGGACCTCCAGCTTGATGTTGGGGAGGCCAGCTAGGGTGGTGGAGGAGGGATGGTGGTGGTGGTGGCGGCGGCACCTGGAGCTGGAGATTGCTTCCAAGTTGCGATGCCCTCCACTACGAAGTACATGGCAGCGGGAGGGATGGATGAAGGATGATGGGCCCTGGAAAGCCTGGGTTTGGGTTTTGGGTGCCTGTCAGTGAGGGCCAAGATGGATGGCATCCAGGGACCGGAGGCGCCCCTTGGGTGCCGGCAGTGGGGGGGCGCGCCCGCCTCACTCACCCATCCACTCGGCATGGGTTGGATGCATCCACCTCATCAGCCATCCACGATCCCGCCGCGGTGCGTGGGTGCGTCCCAGCCAGCCCAAAATTTTTTGTTAGCGGCCCGCGCCTGCGCTCAACAATTGGGGAGTGCCGTGCCAGCCCGGCCAGCCAGCTAACACGACTACGACCTCTGAACCAGCGAGTTCTGCCGCCGATAGCCTGGCAAAGCCGCGCACCTCATTACTGCCTCTGCGCGCATCTCGAATATTGTGCTGTAGTTGTGTGATTCTGGAGGACCTCTTGCTCAGGTTTGGGCTGCTGCTGCTGCTGCTGCTGCTGCTGCGCGACCCGACTCGTGACCTGCGACGCAGTAAACGCAATAGGAAGTAAGCCGGGGGGCTGACTGACTGTCACCACGTCGCAGTGCGCGCTGTTCAGGTCGCACGGGTGAGGTGACACGGGGCTGCGCGGCGCTGTGAGACGGAGGCTACGTAAGAGGGCGGAAGAAGCTTGCTGGACCGGACCGCACTGGGCTGGACCCTGGACTGCCGCGATGGATGGATGTGCGGTTCTGTTGGCGCTGGCGCGGGCGCTGCTGGGCCAGGTCGGGGTGTTGTTGGCTGGTGTTGGGGACTTCCATTGGCGATGACAACCCGATGAGAGTGAGTGCTCGCTCTCCTCTTGGTGTGACGTTGGATAAAGCAAGAAACAAGGCAGTGGACGTAGTATGTACAGTACTCCAATCCGTAGATCTACTACCGCATCCCGCCCGCCCGTCCGGGGCCGAAATGCGTTGCGCCTCCGATAAGTCACGACATCCCAAGGGCAGTGGTCCCGGGACAAAAGCCGAAAAGGTTGAGAGTGAGTTCCACGCGGCGCCAAACAGGTTATGGTGGTGTGCTGGCACGGAGTTCTTGGGAGGGTACAATGCGCCCGCGGCCCGGGCACCGTTGGCGGCGCACTGTGCCTTATCGATAAAGCTCAACTACCTGACAGCCGCCCAGCCTGGCAGCACGGAACCCGGAGCGGGAACCACGAAAGAACCTCATGTGAAAAAAATCGACGTCAGACGTGCAGTGCACTTGCAGCCGCGTTCGACGGACCCCCGACAAACCCAGCGCCGCAGATTGGATGGACGGACTCCGACGGAGGGGAGAGTGACAGGGGAGGGCGAGGTGGTCCCTCAATCGGCGCGGGCGGCGCCCCAATCCCACCTGCATAAGCGTCCTTTTGGGCCATTGGGGACTTTCTCCGTCCCGAGCAGGGGGGACGGGCTGCTGGCTGGCTGCTCCATCTGTTCCATGCCGTTCGACAGAGTGCTCTTCAGCACCGAACAAGTACCTGACCTAGGTACAGACTCCAGGCATAACGCGGGTCAGACCGCGCCGTGGGGGAGGAGCCCGGATAAGCTTGGTGGGAAGGGGCAGCTAGGTTGAAGACCCCAGGCCCGTCGGGCGGCGGAAGGCTGGCCGCGGGTTAGGAACTTGGGATGGCATATTGAGTTGTTGAGCGTCATTTACACCGAGTGATTTTACTGCTCCAGGCGCGAAATACTGCCGGGACGGTATCGTAGCTCGAAGTCGGCGAAACCGCCCAAAGACACTGTAAGGCGCTGCAAGACGCTCGCCCCTCATGGAATTGTCTGCCCAGCGTGGCCTCGTACCGCAGCATGCAGCTGCCTGCCTGTCCATCAGCCTCACATCGGGACGGCTGAACATCCATCCATCCATGGATCCATGGCGGGCCATGCACGCGCTCGCACGGCGCCGCGTAGGTGCCCATCCCGCGATCCTCTCCGATCCCTCCGAGTCGGGTCCCGGCCAGCGACGCCGACCGACATGCTCCTGCATGGGACGCATACGTACATACATGTACGGCTCGACGCGCCCATCCCACCCGCCGGGTCAGCTTTGCTGCGCTCTCTTTCCCTTTCTCTCTTCCCTTCTTCGATCCGTCGTCGACTGCTTGCGTACCTATGCGACCTGTCTGCCTCCTCCGGCGCCCACATCGAACCTCCTCCTCCTCCCAAACCCGGCCGTTGACCTGCCGGGCCGCCCACCAATTCGTCACGTCAGTCGCTGTCGCCGCTATCGTCGTCGGTGAACGGGACTCAGTGTAAGTTCCGCACCCGCCTCCACCGAGACCCAGGGACCGGTAATTGCGGCCGCTACTTGGTGCCCGCGACCGACCTCCTCACGAGACACTGTGCGCGCTGGGGAATCTAGAAGGGGAAGGGGTCCAGTGAAAGACGCCAGGCGGTCCTCGTCCCGCCCATTCAGCGGGCCTCCATCGAGCTGGCGCGGCCAGGCACTGTACCGCTGCGGCAGTACCGCCACCTCCACCGGGCCTCCAACTCGTCGCGGCAGTGGAGTGGCAGTTGGCACGTTGCAGCCCAGCAGCCCTGGCCGGCCTGGCGCCTCCCCGTCGCGTCCACCTCAATTTTTTTTTGGGCGCTCGCGCGCGCCGCACCCAAGATCGGACAGTGCCAACTGACGAGCCCCAACAGATTGCGATACCTGCCGTCCAGGTACTCCCCTGCGCCGGCCCGCCGCCAAAAGCTCCGTCTCGCCCCAAGTACCGCCGGTACCAAAGTACACGACACACACGTCCCCGTCAAGGTTCCTCGCCGCCCGTCTCGTTCCCGGCCAACGACTTCCGGGGCCGCCTCCAAAACACTTTTCCTCGACCTCAACCTCGTCCCCGGTTGTCCGTCTTCCCACCTTATCCTCCCGATCCTGAACCTCCCTCTCCCTCTTCGCGAGCAGCCTGCCAATCCACCAACAACCCCCTTGACGCCCTACACGCCTTCTAATACCAAATCTCGCGGCGCGTCTTGTTCTTCTCTTTCCATTCTTCGTGCCTTTCTCTTAGCGGGTTGTGTAGGTAGTTGGCGTGGCGCAACCGCAACTACCCTTCCCCCCCAACGACTCGTCGAGATACCTCCTTTGCGAATCACCTCGAACCTCTTGTCCTCCCAAGGGTTCATGACGGCTTGACGGGACAGCTTTCGCCTGCTGCGACCCCGCCCGATTCGCTCTCGAAACTCCATCTCCTCCGACGCAACATCCTCTTCCTCGTCCCCCATACACCACATCATGGCAGACGCCACGACAAACGGGCGGACGGTGCCCGTCGTCAACGGCAAGGCCTCGTACGCCGAGAAGCACAGCCTCGCAGACCACTTCATAGGGGGCAACAAGCTGGCCAATGCGCCCCCGAGCAAGGTCAAGGACTTTGTCGCCCAAAGTGACGGCCACACCGTCATCACAAACGTTGGTCTCTCCATAACCCCTTCCGGCGCCGGCGGGCGACCCTGAACTGGCCTACTGACGCTTTCCCCAGGTCCTCATCGCCAACAATGGTATCGCCGCCGTCAAGGAGATCCGCTCCGTGCGGAAATGGGCGTACGAGACGTTCGGCGACGAGCGCGCCATCCACTTCACCGTCATGGCCACCCCCGAGGATCTCCAGGCCAACGCCGACTACATCCGCATGGCCGACCACTACGTCGAGGTCCCCGGCGGCACCAACAACCACAACTACGCCAACGTCGAGCTCATCGTCGACATCGCCGAGCGCATGAACGTACACGCCGTCTGGGCCGGCTGGGGCCACGCCTCCGAGAACCCCAAGCTGCCCGAGTCGCTCGCCGCCTCCCCCAACAAGATCGTCTTCATTGGTCCCCCAGGATCCGCCATGCGCTCGCTCGGTGACAAGATCTCCTCCACAATCGTCGCCCAGCACGCCGACGTCCCCTGCATCCCCTGGTCTGGCACCGGCGTCAGCGAGGTCGAGCTGGATAACAAGGGCATCGTCACCGTCTCCGACAAGGTCTACGCCAAGGGCTGCGTCACCTCGTGGCAGGAGGGCCTCGAGAGGGCCAAGGAGATTGGCTTCCCCGTCATGATCAAGGCGTCAGAAGGCGGCGGTGGCAAGGGTATTCGCAAGGCCATGGGCGAGGAGGGCTTCGAGGCCCTTTACAAGGCCGCCGCCAGCGAGATCCCGGGCTCCCCCATCTTCATCATGAAGCTGGCCGGCAACGCCAGGCATCTCGAGGTCCAGCTCCTGGCTGATCAGTACGGCAACAACATCTCCCTGTTTGGCCGTGACTGCTCCGTCCAGCGCCGCCACCAGAAGATTATCGAAGAGGCCCCCGTCACCATCGCCAAGTCTGACACCTTCAAGGCCATGGAGGACGCCGCTGTGCGCCTGGGCAGGCTCGTCGGCTACGTCTCCGCGGGTACCGTCGAGTACCTGTACTCGCACGCCGATGACAAGTTCTACTTCCTCGAGCTGAACCCGCGTCTGCAGGTCGAGCACCCTACCACGGAAATGGTCAGCGGCGTAAACCTGCCCGCCGCCCAGCTCCAGATTGCCATGGGTGTTCCCCTGCATCGCATCCGCGACATCAGGGTGCTCTACGGCGTCGACCCCAAGACGACGAGCGAGATCGACTTTGAGTTCAAGCGCGAGGGCTCGTCCCAGTCGCTGCGCCGCCCGACGCCCACGGGTCACTGCACGGCTTGCCGTATCACCTCTGAGGACCCCGGCGAGGGCTTCAAGCCGTCCAACGGTGTCATGCACGAGCTCAACTTCCGCAGTAGCTCCAACGTCTGGGGCTACTTCTCCGTCGGAACGCAGGGTGGCATCCACAGCTTCTCCGACAGCCAGTTTGGTCACATCTTCGCCTACGGCGAGAACCGACAAGCTTCGCGAAAGCACATGGTCGTCGCGCTCAAGGAGCTGAGCATTCGCGGTGACTTCAGGACCACCGTCGAGTATCTCATCAAGCTGCTCGAGACGGAGGCCTTCGAGGACAACACCATCTCGACCGGCTGGCTGGACGAGCTGATTTCTAAGCGCCTCACCGCCGAGCGGCCCGACACCATGCTCGCCGTTGTCTGCGGCGCCGTCACCAAGGCGCACATTGCCAGCGAGACGTGCATGGCCGAGTACCGTGCCGGCCTGGAGAAGGGCCAGGTCCCCTCCAAGGACATCCTCAAGACCGTCTTCACCATCGACTTCATTTACGAGGGCTTCCGCTACAAGTTCACCGCCACCCGGGCCAGCTCGGACAGCTACCACCTGTTCATCAACGGCTCCAAGTGCTCGGTGGGCGTCCGCGCCCTCAGCGACGGCGGCCTTCTCATCTTGCTCGACGGCCACAGCCACAACGTGTACTGGAAGGAGGAGGTCGGCGCCACCCGTCTGTCCGTCGACAGCAAGACGTGTCTGCTCGAGCAGGAGAACGACCCCACCCAGCTCCGCACTCCCAGCCCTGGCAAGCTCGTCAAGTACTCGGTCGAGAACGGTGCCCACGTCAAGGCTGGCCAGACCTTTGCCGAGGTCGAGGTCATGAAGATGTACATGCCTCTGGTCACGCAGGAGGACGGTATTGTGCAGCTCATCAAGCAGCCCGGCGCCACGCTCGAGGCTGGTGACATCCTGGGAATCCTCGCCCTCGACGACCCTAGCCGCGTCAAGCAGGCTCAGGCCTTTGTCGACAAGCTGCCGCCGTACGGCGACCCCGTCGTTGTCGGCAACAAGGCTGCTCAACGCTTCGGTGTCCTCAAGAATATCATCATGAACATCTTGATGGGCTACGACAACTCGGTCATCATGGCCCCTTCGCTCAAGGAGCTCATTGAGGTGCTGCGCAACCCCGAGCTGCCCTACAGCGAGTGGAACGCGCAGTTCTCTGCCCTGCACGCTCGCATGCCGCAGAAGCTGGACTCCCTCTTTGGCCAGATTGTAGAAAAGGCCAGGTCGCGCCATGTCGAGTTCCCCGCCAAGGCTCTGCAAAAGGCTTTCCAGAAGTTCCTCGACGAGAGTGTCGCCGACTCTGACGCCGATATGCTGAAGACGACGCTGGCGCCTCTGACCGAGATCCTCGAGATCTACGCCGACGGCCAAAAGGCACGTGAGCTGCACTTTGTGCAGAGCCTGCTCGACGCATACTGGGAGGTCGAGCGCCTCTTCTCCACCCAGACCCAGGAGGACAGCGTCGTCCTGAAGCTGCGTGACCAGAACAAGGACAGCATCAACAAGGTCGTTCAGACGGTCCTCTCTCACAGCCGCGTCAGCGCCAAGAGCTCCCTCGTGCTCGCCATTCTGGACGAGTACCGTCCCAACAAGCCCAATGTCGGCAACATCAGCAAGTACCTGCGCGACTCGCTCCGCAGGCTTACCGAGCTGTCGTCTCGCGCCACCTCCAAGGTCTCGCTCAAGGCCCGCGAGATCATGATTCAGTGCTCGCTGCCCTCTCTGGAGGAGCGTACCGCCCAGATGGAGCACATTCTGCGCTCCTCCGTCGTCGAGTCCCGCTACGGCGAGAGCGGCTGGGACCACCGGGAACCCAACCTGGAGGTCATCAAGGAGGTCGTCGACTCCAAGTACACGGTCTTTGACGTGCTGCCGCTCTTCTTCGCCCACGAGGACCCCTGGGTGGCGCTGGCTTCGCTCGAGGTCTACGTCCGTCGCGCGTACCGTGCTTATATTCTCAAGCAGATTGAGTACCACAGCGACGAGACGGACTCGCCCCTCTTCGTGTCCTGGGACTTCCAGCTGCGCAAGATTGGCCAGTCCGAGTTCGGCCTTCCGCTCCAGTCGGCCGCGCCGTCGACGCCTGGCACACCCAGCGCCTCGAGCGACCTGAACATGAAGCGCATCTACTCCATCAGCGACATGTCGTACCTCACCAGCAAGTGGGAGGACGAGCCTACTCGCAAGGGTATCATTGTGCCTTGCAAGTACGTGGACGAGGCCGAGGAGTTGATCCAGAAGGCCCTCGAGACGCTCGCTTTCCACAACAAGCAGAAGAAGCAGCAGAACGGCACCCAGATCCTTGCTGACCTGAACGATAAGCGCAAGCCGCTCAGCTCCATCAAGAACGCCGCCAAGAGGGACGACGAGCTGTCCGCGGTCATCAACGTGGCGATCCGGGATGTCGAGGGTGCCGATGACCAGGAGCTCATGTCCCGTATCCGGCCGATTGTCCAGCAGTTCAAGGGCGAGCTGCTCGCCCGCGGTGTGCGCCGCCTGACGTTCATCTGCGGCCACAATGACGGCTCGTACCCTGGCTACTACACCTTCCGTGGCCCCGAGTACGAGGAGGATGACAGCATCCGTCACAGCGAGCCTGCCCTGGCCTTCCAGCTGGAGCTCGCGCGCCTCGGCAAGTTCCACATCAAGCCTGTGTTCACGGAAAACAAAAACATCCACGTGTACGAGGCTATTGGCAAGGCGGTCGACACCGACAAGCGCTACTTCACTCGTGCTGTGATCCGACCTGGCCGTCTTCGTGACGAGATCCCGACCGCGGAGTACCTCATCTCCGAGGCGGACCGTGTCATCAACGACATCTTTGATGCACTTGAGATTATCGGCAACAACTCGTCGGATCTGAACCACATCTTCATGAACTTCAGCCCCGTCTTCCAGCTGGATCCCCAGCAGGTTGAACAGAGTCTGCAGGGCTTCCTGGACCGCTTCGGCGCTCGCGGCTGGAGACTGCGTGTGGCCCAGGTCGAGATCCGCATCATCTGCACGGATCCCGCCACCGGCGCCCCGTACCCCCTGCGTGTCGTCATCACCAACACGTCCGGCTACGTTGTCGATGTCGACATGTACGCCGAGCGCAAGTCGGAGAAGGGCGATTGGGTGTTCCACAGCATCGGCGGTACCAAGGAGAAAGGCCCCCTGCATCTCCTGTCCGTCTCGACGCCTTATGCCACCAAGAACGCACTCCAACCCAAGCGGTACAAGGCTCACCTTATGGGAACGCAGTACGTGTACGACTTCCCCGAGCTTTTCCGTCAGGCCATTCAGAACAGCTGGGTCAAGGCCGTCAAGAACCAGCCCGCCATCGCGTCGCAGCAGCCCAAGGTCGGCGAGTGCATCACCTTCACCGAGCTTGTCCTCGACGACAAGGACAACCTCGACGAGGTCAACCGCGAGCCGGGCACCAACACGTGCGGCATGGTCGGCTGGATCTTCAAGGCTCGCACGCCCGAGTACCCCGCGGGCCGCCGCTTCATCGTCGTTGCCAACGACATCACCTACAAGATCGGCTCGTTCGGCCCCAAGGAGGATAACTTCTTCCACAAGTGCACGGAGCTGGCTCGCAAGCTGGGCATCCCGCGCATCTACCTGTCGGCCAACTCGGGTGCACGCCTCGGCCTGGCTGAGGAGCTGATGCCTCACTTCAAGGTTGCCTGGAACGACGCCGAGAAGCAGGACCAGGGCTTCCGGTACCTGTACCTCGATGACAAGGCCCTGGAGCGTTTCAAGGATGATGTCATCACCGAGGAGGTGTCCGAGGATGGCGAGAAGCGCCACAAGATTGTCACCATCATTGGCAACGAGGATGGTCTCGGTGTCGAGTGCTTGAGGGGCTCCGGCCTGATTGCCGGTGCGACCAGCCGGGCGTACAATGACATTTTCACGGTGACGCTCGTCACCTGCCGATCTGTTGGTAAGTCTTGAGCCGTGTTCAGTTTGTTGATCGAAGAAGACTAACAGCCGTAGGTATTGGTGCCTACCTTGTCCGTCTCGGACAGCGTGCAGTCCAGATTGAGGGTCAGCCCATCATTCTTACTGGCGCCCCGGCCCTCAACAACCTGCTGGGCCGCGAGGTTTACACGTCCAACCTGCAGCTCGGTGGCACGCAGATCATGTACCGCAACGGCGTGTCTCACATGACGGCCAACGACGACTTTGCCGGTGTCTCGCGCATCGTCGAGTGGATGTCGTTTGTGCCGGAGAAGCGCAACGGCCCCGTGCCCGTCAGCCCTAGCGCCGACGCCTGGGACCGCGACGTCGTCTACTGCCCGCCGCAGAAGCAGCCTTACGATGTGCGGTGGATGATCTCGGGTAAGCACGACGACGACGGCAGCTTCCAGAGCGGTCTCTTCGACAAGGACTCGTTTGTCGAGACCCTGGGTGGCTGGGCTCGTACCGTCGTTGTCGGCCGTGCCCGTCTCGGCGGCATCCCCATGGGTGTCATCGCCGTCGAGACGCGCAGCGTCGAGAACATCACGCCGGCCGACCCTGCCAACCCCGACTCGATGGAGCAGGTGAGCAACGAGGCGGGCGGCGTGTGGTACCCCAACTCGGCGTTCAAGACGGCGCAGGCCATCAACGACTTCAACAACGGCGAGCAGCTGCCGCTGATGATCCTGGCCAACTGGAGAGGTTTCTCTGGCGGCCAGCGCGACATGTACAACGAGGTGCTCAAGTACGGTTCGTTCATCGTTGACGCCCTCGTCAAGTACGAGCAGCCCATCTTCGTCTACATCCCGCCGTTTGGCGAGCTGCGCGGCGGCTCGTGGGTGGTGGTGGACCCCACCATCAACCCGACTGCCATGGAGATGTACGCCGACGTGGAGGCGCGTGGTGGTGTGTTGGAGCCCGAGGGCATCATCGGCATCAAGTACCGCAAGGAGAAGCAGCTGGAGACGATGGCGCGCAACGACCCAACGTACGCCAGCCTGAGGAAGCAGCTGGAGAACAAGGGCCTCGGCCCCGAGGAGGCGGCGGCGATCAAGAAGCAGGTCGTGGCACGGGAGAAGCAGCTGCTGCCGGTGTACGCGCAGATCGCGGTGCAGTTTGCGGACCTGCACGACCGGGCGGGCCGCATGAAGGCCAAGGGGACGATCCGCGAGGTGCTCGAGTGGAGCAACGCGCGCCGGTACTTCTACTGGCGCCTGCGCCGCAGACTCAACGAGGAGTACGTGCTCAAGCGGATGGCGACGAGCGCGGTGTCGACGGGCGCGCAGCCCGGGTCGGCCAAGGCGACCGAGGTGCGGGAGCGCAACCTACACCTGCTGGAGAGCTGGTCGGGCATCGTGGGCTGGTCGCACAACGACCGCGAGGCGGCCGAGTGGTACGAGCGCGAGCGCAAGACGATCGGGGACAAGGTGGAGGCGCTCAAGGCGGAGCAGCTGTCGGCGGAGCTGTCGGCGCTTGTGCGCGGGCACAAGGAGGCGGGCTTCAAGGGTGTGCGCGAGGTGCTGAGGGTGATGCCCGTGGAGGAGCGGGAGGCCATCCTCAAGTACCTCAAGGAGTGAGGCGGCAACGCCGTGGGTTTTCTTCTTGGTTCATGTCCTGTTTGTTGTCACGCACGTATACCTCATGGGAGAGACGAGTGTATGGATGGCGCCTGTATTGTTATAGAGCATAATCATGAGCAATGTCCTTTGGTTTACGTCTGCGACGCCTCATTTGCGTGTCTTGTATGCCGTGTTCTACAGATGATGTACAATGTGTATGTGTGTGCGTGCGTATGTGTATCCAGCCGATGGTGTGAGGCATATGATGGGTTTTGCAGCACTCCCTCTGGGCGATTAATCTCGTCCCTAGCCGTCAAGACTTGCCGCGCCTGGCCGCTATCCCGCTTCCCTCGAACCAGGCCAATAGATGCATCAACAAACCCCTCGCCCCATGCGTATATGCGCGCCAACGGTACCTAGGCTTACTTCTTACTCCTCCTCCTCGGGCACGACCGTACGAATCTGCACGCCGTGCCACTCCTTGACGCGGTCCCCCAGCGCGGCGTTGACCATGCGCTGCTGCTTGAGCAGCGTCTGGCCGCGGAAGGCGCGCGACGCGATCTGGATGGCGTACATGCTGCCGCAGCCGCCCGAGACGTCCTGCACGAGGACGAAGGTGGGGTCGAGGGCGGCGGAGAGGACGGCGGCGATGGAGGCCTCGGCGGGGGTCATGGCGGGGAGGGGGTCTTCGTCCTCGATGGAGGTGGGTTGGCGCTGCGGCGGCGTGGAGGAGGAGCTGTAGAGCCGTGCTGGCGTCGGAGAAGGGAGGGCGGCGGTGGATGAGGATGAGAGAGCGGCTCGGGAGCTGAGATGGCGCGGGGAGAGCGGTCGGCGCGGCGAGGCGGATGTTGAGAGGAGGGCTCGGGGGGCGATGACGATGGAGCGAGACGACGGGCGGAGGAGGGCGGCCGGAGGAGAGCGCTGCGTGCGCAGCGCGGCGCGGCAGGACGAGCAGATCATGGCTGGTGAGGGCGTCGCGATATCGATGCTACATGCAGGAGCGAAGAGAGAAGAGGGCCAATTGGGCGGGCAATTGGTGCTGTGGAAGCGGCGGCGGCGACAGCGGCGAGGATGCGGTGGTGAGGTGTTGACGTTGAATGGTGACGATGGGACCTCGGACGTTTCCGTGGACGAAGGAAAAGTTGAGAATTATTCAGCAGCTGGAGCATTTCATTGGGGACCGCGGGCGGGCGGGTTCGGTCGGCACTGGAACCGCTGTGGGCGCTGCGCCGCGCGCCGGCAATGGAGGGCCCAGGGCCGGCCGGGGATTTGCCGGCGCTCCGGACGGAGAGTCGGCCGGCGGGCAGGTCGGCGCATGGTGCCGTTGCATGCTGTGAGGGACAATTTTAGGAGAGGTCAATGTGCTGTGGAGGGACGTGAGAATGGGACGATTCTTGAGAATGAGTTGGAACCAGATCAGACTTGCCCAAACCGCAGGGATGCTTGATGAGCTGCATGCGGCCTTGGCTCCTGGTGTAAGCCGTGTAAGTGTACATGTACCACTCCGTATTCCTTGGCGGGATCAGTAGGCTCTCCTTGTGAGTGCATCAGATTAGATTAATTTCGTAGCAGGCGTGGTCGCACATACTTTCTACGAAGCATTGCAGCCATCAAGATCACAGGCTATACACACGAAAATGTGGACGGAACATGAACACGCCGTGCACCAGCACAACCTGGCACCCACCTCCTTGAGTACTGCCTTCTCTAATACACACGCGACGCTGTGTATTCATAGAGTCTTGCATATAGCATACGCTATGTCGTAGATATTCAGTTAATCGGCGACTCTTGTACTCTTGTTAAGTGTAGGACTGCTGTCACTGCACTACTGTGCTTGAAGGCGTCAATGTGAGGCAGCATACGAGCATTGGAGTCAGAAAGGCTCAATGGAAGTGCCGCTTACGTCTGCGACGGCGCAGTAGTTACAGCAAGTTTCTCCCATTCCTCTCGACTTACGGGGTGACCTCGAGCGGGATCATTTCGGTAGACCATAGAGCACTTCATGACTTCATGTAAAAGCCTCTATGCGTACTGTCCGGTGCACGGCCTCGGGCCAGTGTCTTGTAAATGGGCTGCTCAGCGTCCGTGTACTGTGAAACCTTCTGGCACTCTCTGCACATCACAACATGAGGACAGCGTCGTGACTACTGTGCCTCGCCCCCCACCCAAGTTAGGTCGGTCCGCGACGCGCGAGAGAGGCTTTATGTCCAAGACGTTGAGCTGAACGCCTGGAGCGGGTGGGGTTGGGTAATATGCCCCGAGGCCTAGCTAAATGGGTGGTGGATTGGTCAACCGCAGTGCCCAGAGGCCAACGAGCTGAGAGCATCTCTGTTGGGCAATGGGACTCGCAAGATGCAAGTGCGACGTGCATCAGGCCTTGTTGTACGGAGGGACGTGGAACTTGTGCGCAATATTGGCACAGTAAGCAACCATCGTACATGGGGGTGCTCAAGGCTCAACACCAACAACATGAGCCCACTTATCGGGCATGAGTTCAGGGCAACAAAGCACCACCAGACCTGCTAAGAGCGAGGCCGAACGCGCGAGGGCTGCACGGCATGACCGGAGCTGAGAGGAGGTTGGTAATATTGTGGAGTTGTGGCAGTAGAGAACCTGCCAGGTTCAAGAGATCGACACTTCAAAGGAGTTTTATGCGTCTGGTGCCTGATGATCCCTCGCGGGGCAGGCCGAATGCAACCGCAGCGTCGTGTTCCGCGCGGCCAAGTGGCCCCTCTCCGTTCGTCTCACGTATGGCAGTCTGCCCCGGGCGCGGTTCATAAACTTAAGCTTGTCTATAGTACTATGCGTGTCGGACGGCATGGCCCGGGTTCATATAGCGGCGGGGAGCCGTCCCTGCTGCGGAGGGCGGGCAACTGCTGGAGGTCGTCGCCCGCGGCGCGTATTTCTTCACCTCTTCTCGTTCCAACCACCATTTCAGGAACGGCTACCTACCAACGGTGGGCAAGGAGAGCCGCATGGCGTTTCCGAGTAACATTGCGTGCGGACCGGCCTTACTGGCCGTACGAGGACATCAACATGAAGTAACTGCCATGGGGTGTTGGGGAGACCGTCACCCATCTAATGCCAAGAGGAGGGCTATAAGTCAGATGCCAAATCCGGGGAAGGCTGACGGCGCATGTCAGCCACATCTGCAGCTGCCAGGGCCCATTCATTTCCTCGGCAGGCCCAGGAGGAGCAGGAGGAGGCGGCGGCGGCCAGATCGGTTGGGCGCTTGGCCTCATCGCCTCATGGATGGCGGGTGGCGCTACAGAAGTACCTCCTACTCCAAGAGGTCCAGGCCTGGGTGCGCTCCAGCCTTTGGATTACGGGACTGTATAACCTCATTCTTTATCGTTCATGTAATGAGGGCGCCGTTGCACAGAGAATGGCGCAATCGACAGCGACGAAGGAAAGCGACGAAATGATCGGTGTGCGTGCAAACAGAGACAGGCGGGAGAGAGACACTACTCATCTCGCCTCGCTCAGCCGAAATCAGTCGTCAGGGATCAATTGGAGGTGGCCACGGCGGAGCGGATGCGGCCGAAAGGCAGCCGGCCGTGTTACACGGAGGCGACATCAACACCGCCACCACTGGTCATACCAGACGAGATGATGATGAGGAGGACCGCAACAACCAAGGAAGAGGCAGCCAGAGACCAGGCAGTTCTCCCCCAAAGCAGACGCGCAAAAGGTCCCCAAAGGTCCCCAGCAGCACAGGCTGGACCGGACAAGGCCAGGCAATAGTCCGCGCATGCAGTGATACCGGACGGCGAAAGCTCCTGCTGTTTCTGGCCCGTGCCAGCTAGTTAGTGGTAATAATCTGGACCGCGTGTGGAGGAAGAGCGGGAAGAAAGGGCCAAGGCCGGCTGGGCAAGCCCCACGAACGCTCGTCGCGGGAGCCCGAGGACTTGACGACACAGCGTGAAGGCACAAGCTGGAAGTGCCGCAGCGGCGGGCGGCGGCGCCACGCCTGACAGGGGCCGGTGCAGCGTTAGCTTCTACCTTACTAAACGAGGCAAGGAGCCGCGATTGTTTATCGAGGGCAGCAGGGGAAAGTGGCACCGGCCCTGCGGCAGGGGTCTGGTGCTCCGATGGTGGGCTTGTGAGCGCGTGAGCCGCCATCGTCGTCTTCGCATCGTCGCCCGCTCTCCTTGACGCTAGGTTTTGTGGGAAACCCACCTCTACAGCGGTTGACGATGCTCATCAAAGGCGGAAGCGGTGATGACACGCTATGCTAATGAGATTCGTCACGGAGCGCGACCTGAATCGCCGGTCCGAGCGTCTTGTGCAAGCACAGCGCGGCATCCGACAAGTGCCGTGAGGTCCAAGTCCAAGTCCAAGTCAACCAGTCCACGGGAGTCGTAAACTCAATCGCCCCCCGGCTCGTCCCTGCGCCGGGGGCGGAGATGGAGGGGGAGGGGGCCCCTCGCCGCCGGGACCGCAGTGCAGCCGGGAGGCGCCGTGGCGGTGAACGAGGCTTGTGACAGAACGAGAAGGGTAAGCCCTCACGGTTCTTGACTCTTGACTCTTGACGAGAAAGAGGCGAGCGGCCGTCCGGCTTCCATGATTAAATGCTGCATGTTGTTGTTGCTCGTTCCCCGCTGATCGGCAGTTGACGCAAACGACGCTGCAGAGGCGAGACATGCGCTGGCGATGGCCCTCTGATCGTGCAAGACACGCATGAACGCGAACAACAAAAACTTGTTGCATGTGCTCGGTTGTAAGTCCAGTCCAGTTAGCCCTCCAATACTGTACCTATGTACGGGGGGCAACAGGCGGGCCATCCACCCAGATAAGAATCGCGCGCCCCGTTTGATCTTCGCCCAGAAAGCAGCAGCACCGGCAGTGGCACTGCCTGTCCCTGAGCGCGTTGTCCGTGCCCCCTCCGAGTCGGACCGCACTTGCAGAGCACTGCCGGCGGCGGGACAGGCTCTCCCGCTGTGTCAGCGCGCCCAGAATCATCCCGCCACGGTCCGCAGACGGCTCGCTGTCGAGTTGCTATACTTGGAATATTTCTTTTGGGCTTCGACAGTAAGCCGTACGATACGAGCGAGAGTGCATTGACAATAAACAGCAACAACAAACAGTCATGTTTGACGTGTAACTGGCGAACCGAGACACCTTGTCCAACATCGCGGATCGGGGGTGGGAGCACAAGAACTTGACATGAGCGGCCGTCCAGCCCTGGACCCGAGAGAGTCTCGTTCGCCCGCCGCTCTCTCACTCTCTCACTCTCTGTGTCTCCCCCGCACCGGCGACGGCAACAAAGTTCCTCTGTTTCTCCAACTCGGTCACTCGACTCACTCACTCATCATTGATCTGTCCAACTCCACCTGCGGGTCTAGTCCCCCTCCTCATCAGGCACACACACCTGCGGCTGCAGCACGGCCCCTGGGAGACCCTGGCCCCCCTTTCCAGATCCAGCAGGTGAATGGCGGGCGCGCGGTGGCCTGGCTCAAGTCCCGCCCCAGTCTTCTCCCCCCACGGCCGCGCCGGGGGCTTCCAGACTCCAACGACGCGCAAGACGGGAAGCTCGAAAGCACGCGGGCATCGCTAACTAACGATGGGCTTGGCACAAAGGCACCCGTTAGTTCCAACATTGGCCGTTGTGCCTGCCTGCTTGCTTGCCTACCCTCGCCTCCAGCTCACTATCGCGTTCGCTTCTAATGCGCTGGGGCGGCCCTCCTCGACTGCCCGCGCCGACCTGCCCGGACGGGTGCAAGCGTGATGCTCTGTCAATAGCGAGCGAACCCCTCCTCCAGACTAAAGACATGGAGGAGAAGCGGCATGGAAGCGGGACTGGAACACGGCCAAGGCACCGCCCGTGAGGAGAAGGGACAAGAAGAGTGTCAATGGCCTCCCAGTCCTGCAGCTCCGGGAGCCGGCTCGCCGCCATGGCGCACGCGCGCTGCAACCCTCTCGTGCGCTCTCGCTCTCCCCAGTCGTGGACCCTGGCCCACGGGCCCCGGCGCGGCGCACGGCACCGACCAGGGTGTGGTGAGTGGGATGTCTCTGATCCGGCTGCAACTGGTGTTGTTGCTTGCTTGCTTCTGTTGAGAACAGACGCCGCCGCCCGCGCCGCCGGCCGCCCACGCGTGACGAAGATGTGCCAATGCAGCCATGCAGTCCGTTCGTCATGGGTCTCGAGTACAAACAGCACTACATAATACTCCGTACTAGTAGCAGCATCGGGTCGGCGGGCGGTGGTGGGAGAGAGATATATGAAGCGGCAGCTCGCCCGTCACGATCTTTGGCACCCCCCTTCCCTCTCGGCCTTTTGCCTGCCTTCCCCCAGCCGTCTCTTCACTCCATCGCCGCCTCGTCGTCCATTCGTTCGCTTCGAGGTCGTGAGGGAAGACTGAAGGAAAAGCACCTCCAAGTTGTGAGCAGCAGCAGCAGCCCAATATGGTGCGCTCATCGCTGCTCGTCTCGCTCGCGGCGGCGGCGGCCACCACCGTCGCCACCACCGCGTCGAGCAACATCCTTCCCGGCAGCTTCATCGTCGAGTTTGAGCCAGACCATGTAAGTCTTGGTGCTTCCCTTCTCCCCCTCAGTGTGTCGGTGTTGACCGCGGGGTGGTTGTAATGATAGGACACCAAGGCCGTGGTCGCCGCCGTCGAGAAGGAGGGCAAGACGCGCATGAAGCTCGACTACGAGCTCTTCAAGGGCGTCTCGGTCCAGCTCAACGACCCGAAAAAGGCCGATGAGAAGGCCGCCAAGCTCGCCGCCATGCCGGCCGTCAAGGCCGTCTACCCCGTGCGCCTGTACGACATGCCCAACCCGCGCGTCGAGTGGGTGGGCAAGGATCCCGAGGTGCACTTTGCCGACGTCGCGCGCCGTGCTGCTGCCAATGGCACTGACGACACGTACTCGACGCACGTCATGACGCAGGTCGACAAGCTGCGCAAGGAGGGCTATACTGGCAAGGGCGTCAGCATTGCCGTCATTGACACTGGTGTAAGTCTCTGGCCTGCAGCCCCCTGAACGAACACACACGTAGGGAGGGGCAAAGACGCCTCGCCGTACACGCCACAATCGACTTAGACCATGCCATCTTTAAAGTTTGTAGAGCGCTGTGCTGACCGTCGCAGATCGACTACAAGCATCCCGCTCTCGGCGGCTGCTTCGGCAAGGGCTGCCTCGTGACCAAGGGCCAGGACTTCGTCGGCGACGCCTACGACGGCTTCAACACGCCCGTCCCGGACCCGGACCCCATTGACTGCGGCGGCCACGGCTCCCACGTCGCCGGCATCATCGCCGCGCAGCCCAACAAGTTCGGCTTCACGGGCGCCGCCCCCGACGTCACCCTGCACGCCTACAAGGTGTTTGGCTGCACCGGCCAGGTCTCCAACGACGTGCTCATCGCTGCCTACAACCAGGCCTACCAGGACGGCGCCAACATCATCACCGCCTCCATCGGCGGCGCCAGCGGCTGGTCCGAGGACCCCTGGGCCGTCGCCGTCCAGCGCATCGTCGAGAAGGGCGTGCCCTGCACCGTCTCTGCCGGCAACGACGGCGCCCAGGGCCTTTTCTACGCCAGCGGCGCGTCTGACGGCAAGAAGGTCACCTCCATCGCCTCGTTTGATAACAGCGAGACCCCCATCCTCCTGTACGACGTCAACTACTCCATCGACGGCGGGGAGGATGTCAAGTTCGGCTATGTGCCTGGCGAGCCGGCCGAGTGGAAGGGCGTGACCCTTGAGGCATACGCCACCTCCACCGACCTCAACATCAAGAACGATGGTTGCGACCCGCTTCCCGACAGCACACCTGATCTGAGCAACAAGATTGTCCTCATTCGCCGTGGTAGCTGCGTCTTCACACAAAAGGCAGCTAACGCTGCCGCGAAGGGCGCCAAGTATATCATGATCCTTAACAACGTTGGCGGTGCCGGTGGTATCGACGTCCGGGCCGTTCCTGGCATTGTCGGCAGCGGCATGACCCTCAAGAGTGTCGGAGACACGTGGCTCACTGCCATCAAGGCCGGCAAGAAGGTGACGCTTAAGATGGCTGGCATCAAGGACACTAGCGTCTCCCTCATTGTCGTTCAGAACAACGTGACCGGCGGCGCCCTCAGCGGATATACGTCCTGGGGCCCGACTTGGGAAATGGACCTCAAGCCTCAGTTCGGCAGTCCTGGCGGAAACATTCTATCTACATACCCCTTGGCTTCAGGTGGCTACGCTGTTCTGTCGGGCACGTCAATGGCCTGCCCCCTCGCGGCCGGCATCGTCGCCCTCATCGGCCAGGTCCGCGGCACGTTCGACCCCGCCACCATCGAGCAGCTGCTCTCTGGTAACGCCAACCCGCAACTCTTCAATGACGGCTCGAGGTTCTATCCGTTCCTGGCCCCCACGGCCCAGCAGGGCGGTGGCCTCATCCAGGCCTGGGACGCCGCGCACGCCACCATGGTCATTGAGCCCTCTGGCCTCGCCTTCAACGACACCGACAACTTCAAGAAGGAGCTCAAGTTCAAGATCCAGAACATTGGCAAGAAGGAGATCACCTATAAGCTGTCTCACGTTCCCGCAATTAGCATGTATACGCTCCCCAAGGACAAGATCTACCCTGCCGCCTTCCCCAACGAGGCCATCCAGGTCGCGGCCAGCCTGAAGCTCAGCCCGGAGTCGGTGACCATTGCTCCCGGTCGGACTGCCACTATACGCGTCGAGGCTTCGCCTCCTTCTGGCGTCGATGGCAAGCGACTGGCTGTGTGGGGAGGCTGGGTCGCCGTCAACGGCACCGACGGCTCCTCGCAGTCCATCCCCTACCAGGGTCTTACCGGATCGCTCCACAGCTCGAAGGTCTTGGCCGAGGACGACACTTGGATCACGAAGTCCAACGATGACAAGTTGAATCCCGTCAACCCCAATGCGACATTTGCCATCCCCGCTCCCGGTAACGCCGACGGGAGCTCGGTTCTTCCCGCGCTGGCCGTCAACCTGGCGCTCGGCTCGGCCCTCATGCGCGCCGACATCGTCCCCATGACCACCTGCCCCCCCAAGAACCTGACCAGTGAGGTCTGGGGTGTCAAGACCATCGGACAGCCGTACGGCTTTCCTGCTCGGTGGATCACGCGCGGTGCCGCAAAGTATGCTTGGGACGGCCGCCTCGACTCGGGCAACTACGCGCCTCCGGGCAAGTACAAGTTTGTCGTCCGGGCGCTGAAGATCTTTGGCGACGACAGCAAGAAGTCGGAATACGACGTCAGCGAGTCGCCGAGCTTCTATATCAAGTATCAGTAGGCGCAAAAACATGGGGCGCTTGGTAAATACGTACAATAGGAGAGGAGGTGTAGCGAGGATGCGAATCTCGTTTGCGTGTAGATACTTTGGCCATGATACATCAGGCCTGTTGAATACCTTTAGACTCTGGTGTCCATTTGAAGTGTTTTGCGACGTACTGGCCCGTACTCATGCTTGCCTCAACCTGTCCTCCAGTCGCGCTACTCTCAAGTTGCATGCTCGACTCCATGTCCAGCGTCTCGCAGCATCTCCACAATCTCGGCCCTGACGTTTTCATCTTCTATGGCGGTAGATCGCAAGGTCGCCTTTATCAGCGTTGGAACCGCTATCGGTACAGCAGGCGCTGCATGGCTGAGCAGAAGTTTGACTGTTCCTACATGCCCCATTATTACACGCCACACCATGAGGTCCTCTCCGTCATGGTCGACCATGGCATCAGTACAAACTCGACGGTCCAGAAGCAGCTGGACCATCGACGCATGTCATCCGTGGCATGCCTGCTGGACCGGGCTGAACCCTCTGTAGAGTGTCTCCATAGTCATATCGCCGGCTTCCAAGAGGATCTTAGCCACCTCGTCGTGTCCCATGAAGCACGCTGCGTGGAGAGCTGTCGAGTTCCATGATATGCCCTGGCCCAGGCCAAGCATTGCTCTCACCTTATCCGCGTCGCCTTCAAGTGAAAAGGTTGTAAGCACGGACCCAAATATGCTGTGCGCCGTCTCCTCGCTGGTGCTGTCGAGGATAGCGCGGACCGTCTCGTCATCTCCGGTGGAAACAGCGGTTACAAAGTCCATGTGCGTGTAGCCTGGAGGTAAGATGCGAACACCTCTGCCTAGTAGCATCCGAGTGACCTCTACGTTTCCTGCGTCTATCGCTACTTCAAGAGTAGTTCGGTGCTGTCTATCGTTGTGGACCTCGGCGCCGCTGTCGAGTAAAAGCTCCACTACTTTCAGTTGAGCGTGAGGAATGTTTGAAGGAGGTAGATGGTGGCCGTCGGGCTCAAGGAACCACCTTGCCTGTTCAATGGCCCTCATGACATGTAACCGTTGTCCGCATACCAACTCAAGGGCCGTCCTGGTTGTCAACCAGCTATTCGAAGCATTGACATCCGCGCCATGCTCGATAAGCAATGAGAGAATCTCCGGGCAAACAGCCACCGAGGCAGCCAATGCTGCCGTGCTGAGGCAATGCTGGCTGAGGTTGACTTCTGCCTTTCGAGCCAACAGAAGCCTTACGACGTTGATACGACTGCCCCAAGAAGCTGCTATCAACGCCGACTCGTAGGCTCTGTCCAGTCCGTTTGACGGTCGCAAGTCGGTTGAGCAAGAAGTCCACCACGCTGATGTGACCTCTGGCCGCAGCCACTTCCAGGGGCGTGTCACATGCCACCTTGGGACCTAGCACAGGCTCATTATCCACTGAAAATGTGACTATTTCCCTGAAGCCGCAAATCGCAGCTGCCTCGAAGGGGGCTACTTCCGTAACGATCCCATTAGGGTCAGCCCCTCTCTTGAGAAGCGCGTCAATAGTTGACAGATGGCCGTTCAGTGCTGCCGCGTGAAGTGCCAGATCTAGAATCTCAGCTCTCACAAGTAGCCTGTCACGGCTTGTGCCAACATTTCGGCCGGCGAACGGGCTGTCGAGCAGGGCAATCAAGACATCATCAAGCCCGTGCTCCGCTGCCCAAGGCACCGCAGCGTCTTCGTAATCGGCGAAATGGCTATTCTGCAGTAGGAGAGCCGTCGCAAAGGCAAGTTTGTCCTTCAAGAGCCGGATAACGAGGCTCGTGGCAAGAGAGCGGTCAGAACGACTGCTCACATTCTTGTAGTGTGTCATCCAGTTACGGATCAAGTACGGTGGAAACGTCTCCCACCGGAAGATTGGATCGTACCAAGAACGGGATTGTGAGCCAAGTTTCGAATTCTCTCGTAGAAGGATTAAACCAATGGTGGCTAGCTCTGAGTTCCCTCGGCTTTTGTCGATACGAAAGGTTCTCGCCCGATGGTCCCAGCTGCCGATTGCCTCGGACTTGAGATACTCCTGCACCGAGAAGTGTGCGATGCGGAGCCACCGCCTTTGTCTCCGGTCCCCATGGTCCACAACGGCCGCCTCGATGAAGTTGGGGCAAAGCGACAGGATATCGGCTCCCGGAAGCAGGTTGTCCGGATCGAATACTGCGTTGTCTTGTATTTCCACAGCGACGGCGAGGCCTAATTCTTCAACTGACACTGGTTGCTCCGCGCAGCAGAGGATGGTCAAAACACGCCTAGCATGTTCGATTCGGGATTTCGGGATGCTTGCTAGCACACGCTCGTACGTTTCGCTCAATGACGACGGCAGAGTCTCCAAAGCCAGCTTCAACTGCTTTGGTGATGTAAGACAGTTTTCGAGTGCATTGAGTTGGCACTCCACCCAGCGGAAACTATGCAGTGGTCCGAGTTACTGAGCTCATGAGGCACTTAGCATCGAGCGCGGTCGCGGCCTTACATTCCCTGAGCACGGTGGGTAAGCTCAGCCTGTATCAACTCACGTTGCGCTGCGAATCTCTTCAGGCGTCGTCTTTCCTTCAACTGTGTCGAAATGAAGTTTTCAATGTCACGAAGTTCATTGTTCATCAAGCTGACAACCTGGGCTTCTGTGGGCTCTAGGGCCTCTCGAATGTCGGGCTCGTCACGGCTTGTCGTGAAAATATGTAGCCCCGGCTCATTGAACCTCCGCATGCTAGATATTGTCTGGAGCACGTCGTCGCGGGCGCTGCGGTCGTCGCAAGGGCTCTCGTCCAGCGCATCCAGGAAGAGATACACGTGATTGAAGGATCGGACAAATTGAAGTAAGCAGTCCATCAGAGCCTCATCCGGTGGCGATGCAATGGGATATTTCTGGTGAAGCGCTTCGAGGCGTGTATGCCCATCCTGGTGCTGTACTGACAGCTGTAGGACGAGCGAGCGGAGCATGCCCGAAGTCGTTTGTTTGCTGGCGTCGCTGAAGCTGAAGAAGAAGAACGCCAGGCCGATGCGAGGATTGGACCGCCGGTGCCGATAAGCGTGCTGAACTGCGGTGCAGAATAAGAAGGACTCGCCCGTCCCCGCGAAGCCGTTGAGCCATAACAAGGAGTTGGGGGCCGTCAGCCAGCTGTCGAAGGCGGTCCCTTTTGCCACGAGCCAGCGGCCTGTATCAGCCTGCTTCTTCCTGCAAATTTCATGGTATACGCTGGTAGGGTCGGGGGCTTTGAGCCAGGTCGTGAGGGCGTGCGAAAGCCCTGTATGCCTAACCAGGCTCAGCACAGACTTGATGTCCTTCAGGTCATCTCGAGTATCGGATGCATGTTTCTGCTGTAGAAGATCCAAAGCTGAGGCAATGTTTGACTTTACTCGTTCTACGTCCGCGCTGAGCTTGTGGAGGGTTGTCTGCTCAAAGGGAAACGCGAGCCGCCGGGCGCCCGAGATGGTCTTTGCCCAGATGCCAGGTTTGGAAGTTTTCTTAAACTTGTCAAACTTTCGAAGGCGGTCCTGCAAATCTTCCATGGATAGCTCGCAGTTGTCCACGTAACCCTCTACCGCCCGAATCAGGGCATGCTCGTCATGTTGAAACTTGCGACTGGCGAGGTGTTGCTGTAGGGTCTGGAGGATCGTGACGAGAGTGCCTAGGTCGTCTGCAACCTGGTTGATGCTACCATCTTGATCCGAATAGGCCCTATAGAATGCAACAAGGCGAGTCGACACATCGAGGGACAGAGAGATGAAGCCGGCGACGGCAGCGGATACGGATAGCGGATCAGCCATGGCGGCCGGTTGTGTGTGTCTCGCCTGATTGAGTCGCACGAGCTGGTGCGCTCATCAGGGGTACTTATCACCACGGCTCCCTGAGCGATTGGGCAGCAGGGGCCTCTACAGTTCCATGCATCTTCCTGCCAGCAGTGGCCCAGCCGCACGGCTGTGCTCGCAGGTCGGCCATGGGACGAGTGCATGCGTGCCAATCATCCATCGGGGCGCGTACGGCGTACGCCTACGAAAGGCAGGTTGTGACATGGACGAGGCGGGCTGCAGGCATGCAGTTGCAGATGTGCACTTTGTGTCGTGAAGCAGGGAGTTGGCACAGCGCGAGGTGAGAGGAGCAACAAGACCACGGGCATTGCATCTCGGGCTCTCAGGCTACCCCTTCAGGCTCAGGGTAGGCAGGTTTCCCCCGAGTCCTGCGGCCCCTGCCTCCCTTTCTCCACGGCTACCCACGTGCCACATCGCGTGACCATGGCGGCAGGACGGACGGACGGACGCTCCTGCCTGTCGGCAGTGCTCACGCCAGACGATGGTCCCCCACCGGCGTCGCCCACCGCCCAATCAGAGGGGCAGGTGCGTCGGCTGTCTCAGCGGGGCCTCATTGGCCACGACCAGGCTGCGTCGACGCCCGCCAATGGGGACGGTCGGGGGCTGTTTGCTGGCCAGGCAGCAGCATTCTGTCCAGTCGGTCCCCGCTGCTGATGAGACGCCGGCCGGGGCGACTGACACGCGCCGGGTCGTTGACGATGCAGGCAGCCAGATAACCGCCTTCATTTCATGACGACGCCGCCCGTGGACTGCTCCCTCGCCAACGCCGCAAGCCTCTCGCCCCGACCCTGCTGAGTGAGAAGCAGACCTCGCCTCACCTCTCCTCACCTCCAGCTCACGTGCTGGCGCTGTCGCTCGCAGGAACCGCCTGCCTTGGGGACCGACATCCCCCCTCCCCCAACGGCGACGACGCCCAACGACGAGCCTCACTAACGCATCCATCCCTAAAGCGCACCAAGCGATACGAGTGCTGCTCTGTCCGTCCAGTCTCGTACGCCTGCGCAGTGCTGCACAGTACAGTACAGGACAGTAAAAGACGCTGCCTGGAACACAGCAACATTCACCCCGCGCTCTGGGCCATGTGTGCTCTCACCCGCTGAGCACTTGCTGGTCAGGTCAAGACGCAGCTACAACCAGGCGTTGTCCCCGACGACACCTCAGCGATACTTGATCTGATCGCTCACCACTCCCTTCGCCCTGCCCGCCTGTCCCTCCCGCCATGGAGTCCTTCCTTCCTGTGGGCGGCTTCCAGCTGCCCTTCCAGAAGCGCCTCAGCCGCCTTTATAATGACACCAAGAAGTCGAGCGAATTCGTCAAGGAGCCGGTCCGGAATGAGGAGGATCCTGAGATCAAGGCCTTGCACCGCAAGCTGCGCATTCAGAAAGACCGCCTCGTCAGCTGGGGCATTGAGTGGTCTGACCCCAGCCAGTCCGCCGAGATTGACGAGTCTCTCTCCAAGGCCGGCCTCAGCGAGGTCGTCGGCAGCATCATGTCGACCATCAAGGACATTTTGGCTGAAGCTGAGCCCCTCTGGTTGAGCTCGAAGCGCATTGTCGAGGGCCCGCGCTCGTCGCCCGACAAGAAGCCGCCGCTGGTTCAGTGGGACAAGGGCCGCTTCGAAGACCTTGTCCGCGACCTCACCTCTTCCATCGACACGCTCTATGACCTGTCCCGGACCCGCTCCGGCGGCATCCCGCGTCGCATGTCCAAGACGGCCACCTTCAAGTCGTCGGTGGACGACTTCCGACCCTTTGAGTCGAGTCGCATGCAGACACCACAGCACATCGATCCGCAGACACTCACCCATCTGCGATCGACGGACGGCACCCACGGCGCCAACGCCCGCCAAGTCGTCTTCATGAGCAAGACTGCCTACTCGGAGCTCACGCAGGGCACCACGCGCGAGCCCTGGGCCCCTCTGCTCCTCGAGTATGCCACCTTTGACTCAATCTACGCAACGACGGGCATCATGCCCCCCATGGCCCGCTTCGAGAAGCTGTCGGCTGGTCTGCAGCAGGATCCGCAGCGAGCGCCTGGCACCTGGACAGGTCTGCCACGCCTCTTGGGCTACTTTGAGGACATGGAGAACTCGAGGCTGGGCCTCGTCTATCGGTTTCCGCCGTCATTCAACGCCGTTTCGTTCGAGAAGCTCACTCAGAACCCCCTCTATAGTCTTCCAACCCTGGGCGGCCTTTTGTCGAGCCCTGATACTGAACCATTGCTCGAGGCTAAATTTCGACTTGCGTATAATCTCACAAACACCATTTTCGACATGCACGCGCGCGGCGTCACCCATGGCAACCTGGTCGATGCCAACATCTCGTTTTGCGATTCGCCCAAATTGGCAGATGGCGCGAAGAAGACGGTCGATATTCGACGGCCACTTGTGTCGTCCTTCGACCTGTTCCCCGAGGATGATGCAGCAGCGGGCTTATCCCTCTGGCGCCATCCTCTGGATCCCCGAATGTTCAAGATGTCACCACTGAACAAATCAACGGATGAGCGAGTGCTCGAGTTGTACTCGCTCGCCATGGTTCTCCTGTCTGTCGGTCTGTGGGCAAAACTCGAGAGTCTAGCTCCTGAGCTTGCGATTGACCCCAGTTCTGCCGTCCTCCCTGACTCGCTCATGGACCGGCTGGCCGTCAAATGCGGCAGCCTGTATGCAAAGGCCGTCGAGGCATGCTGGCTGGCCCCCGACGAGGAGTTGTCTGGAAAGGCCGGCGGCGAGGCGCTGCTCTCGTCAATTCAGGTGCGCGTGAGTCGCTACCTAGAGGCGTGCTGCATACTCGATGGCGTCAGTGGCCTCGAGGATCGGTTGACGCAAGAGCTGCATGGCAATACGACGGAGAATCCGCAACCCGCAGAGTCGTCTGTTAAATCACCGATCAAGTACCCCGGCGACCGAAAGGTTTCGGTACAAGAACCAAGCTGTGCCCCGAAGAACCCAGAAAAGGCCGATGTGGCTGAAGTCGAATCCGATGGTAAGCTCTCTCCCAGGCATGCAAATCAGGATGCTGACTGTAATAGGCGTGTCAGGTACTCCTGCCCTTAAGATGAGGCTGTACCCTCACGTCCCGCTCGCGCCAGATGTTGTCGAGAAGTGGAATGTGATTCTGATGCCTCAGATCAACCACGCCCTCCGCCATTTCTACCGCAAGCACCCTGAGTCGGTTGAAATCTCCCTCGAATCGGTCGGCCCAAGTCCAAACAAGACACAGCCGACAGTCTTGGTGGTCTGTACGTCGGTCGGGAAAGTGCGCGCCATTCTGAAGAAGCGCCTTGGGGATTTGTTCGACGGCACCACGGGCTTCTCACTCAAGGTCTGCCGCGGCCAAGTTTTGCGCTCGCGCAGACACGCCACTTCAGTTCGTCGCTCCATGGCGCGCACCCACGACGGCGAAGACGACGAGACGGAAGCAGTCAACCCAGAGTTCCAACAGCGCCCCGGAAATGGCGCGAGCATCGGCGCCTGGATCGGTGACCGCCACTTGCCGCCTGTTAGTTTCGGCGGCTTGGTTTTGATCGATGACAAGCCCTACGGCATGACGGTCCACCACATGCTGGACGACCCGGACCGCGAGCTTGGAAACGCTGAGACTCTCCGCAGCAGCGCCAGACCCGGACACGATTGGCTCGCCGACACGGCAGTGGAGAGCGCGGACGACGAAGACGACGACGACGACGGTTATGCTTTTGGGTTGTCGGACACTGAGTCAGAGCCGTATTCAGATACGGACATTACCAGCGACTACGAAGACGACGAGGAAGAGGACGAATTCGAGCCTGGCGATATTCCCGGCATCGAGCCAGGCTGCGGAGACGGCTACATTGTGACTCAGCCAGCATTGGACGACGTGGAAGACGGGTTCTACCCGTGCGCCGAGACCGAAGACGATGACCACCTCGACACATTTAGCCTTGGCGAGGTCTTTGCGTCCAGTGGCATCCGCCGCAAACAGGCCAACGGGCTCGTTCATGAGGTGGACTGGGCATTGTTCGAATTTGCCGACGGTCGCTTGCCGGACGATAACACCATTCCGCAGGTGTCAGGCAGGAAGGCTCTGCCTACGACTAAGCCAGAAGAGAACACCCTTTTACACCCCACAACTGTCGCGCCGTCGGCATCGCTGCCAGGCATGGAAGTGCAGTGCATCGCCCGCACCAGCGGGCTGCAGACCGGTCAGATCTTGCCATCCTTGACGAGCGTCAAGATCTACGGCCGGGCATCCCCCAGCCACACGTATCAAATCACCAGTATGCCGTCTTCGGCGGCGGAGGGCTCACGCACAGAGCGGAATCGGCCGATGGGCATCCCAGGAGACAGCGGCGCGTGGGTCGTGGATCGCCAGCACAGCCAGCTATGCGGCCACATCTTGGCGTGGAGCCAGCGGAAGCATGTTGCATACATATGTCCCATGGACGTTTTGCTCCTAGACGTTGCACAAACCCTCGAGGCCACTGAGGTCCGACTCCCGGGCGGTGAGCCCGTTGTGGCGCTCGGAGACCCAAATGAAAGCGGTCTGGCGAGCCATGGACACGACATTGGAGGCGGAGACGAGGACCTGGAAGATCTCGTGGAAGAGGAGCACGACGGGAACGAAGATGGCGTTCCCCAACTGATCCAAAGCACGCAAAATATTAGCTTGCGCGATCAGGGGTCGTCGAGCCCGATCCGCTTGGAGGCGTCGAGCGAGCTGAGGGGATTGACGAGCCGACTGGAGGACATGAAGCTGGGACGGACCCAGAGGATTGGCGTCAACTGAGCTGCCGTGCGATTGCCGCACAGCTCGCTTTGTCTGCATGGGAGGGCTAGAGTGCGCACTGTGACGTTTGGATAGGCAATACCCTGGTGCGTTAAACAAAAGGAATCGCTGGACCACCGAGCCACCAGCGGGCTGGAAACGGGAAGTTTGGCTCTTGGCTGTGCAGCGTGCTTTACCCGGGTGTTTTGGGACAGCTCGTGGGGGGACAGGCAGACGATTGGCAAGTAGGTTACGAAGTGACGCTTGATGCAAATGCTCCAACGAATAGAACCAGAACCATGCCTGGCACACCTCTCTCAGCACATCCATCACATGAAGTCGTCCTCCCAGTTCTCGGCGCGGTCCTGGTTGCTCGTCGCAGCCATGTTCTCCTCGGTGAAGAGCTCGTCGTAGGCGTGGTCCTTCTGCCACTTCTTTTCCTTCCACTCTTGTGCCTGCCTAGCCTCTTCTTTTCTCTGTGGCGCGGAGAGGGCGAAAAGCAGTCAGCTTCGGGGTTCGCGGGCGGCAGGCGGCAATTTGATTCGTAGGCAGACGGATTGATTTCGGAACGCGCGGGAACAGAGCAAGGCAGGAGGGCGTGCTGGGACGTGTGGGAGCGGGATGGCAGTAGGCAGCCACCAGACGCAGGGCATGGCAATTTTGGAGCCTGGAGGGTGGGCCGGAGCGGGTGTGTGCATGAACAGTGGGTGTATGGATGGGGTGAAAGGTGCAATGCAAGGTGGTGAAGAAGAAGAGGAAGAAAGGAGGAATAGGAAATGGAATGGAGGAGGACGTACCCTCTGCAGCATCTCGGCCTGGTCGCGCCGGCGCAGCTCCTTGAGGCGGTCGTCACGCTCCTGTTTGAGATCGGGCTTCTTCTCGACCTTTGTCTTGTTGAGGCGGTTGACGATGGGGTTCTCGCGCTGCGGGACGAGCACGCGCTTGACCTGCGGGGGGACATTCTTCAAGTCAGAAAGACCAGCCTCACAATGTAGCAAAACAGGCTCATGGATGAGCTGTGAGAGAGGGGGGGGGAAGCAAAGAATAAAAAAAGAGACTTGCCTTGCGCTGGTCCTTGAAGCTGACCTGGCCGACGTCCATGCTGCCGTCCTTTTTGAGGTTGGACCATGGCGTGTAGATGATGGTGATGTTGTCCTTTTTGTTACCTGATACCATCAATGTTGGTCATCCCATTAGTGCAAAGGCAGCAAAAGAAGAAGAATTGAAGCCCATACCCTCAATGGAGTTGGCCTTGGTGAGCTGCGCGAGGTCCGTCACGAGGTCCTCGGGCAGGTTGTCCCAGGTCTGGCCCTCCTGCATGCGGAGGTAGATGTGCGCGCTTGACAGCTTGTCAACGTGAAACTAAAGCAACGTGTAAGTTCCCATCTGGCACCCGACGCGCGTGTAGTGAGAGTGAAGCATGGCATCGTACCCTGTGTGAGCAGCTTTGTGAGTTTCATGGCGATACGAGATGGGGCTCAACACCCGACAAGTTGGGCGGGCGCACATACCAGACATCTTCCTCCCAGCCGTACTTTATCAAGTCCTCATCTGTTTCGCGTGTGAGAAGATGCGATATGAGAGAAGAGGCGCGGCTCGGCTCACTTACTCTCAAACTTGTCTTTGCCGACGTAGATGAAGCCGGAGGGCTCAACGACGTTGGAGGTGAAGTAGTACACCATGGCTGCGGCTGCTGGCCCGACTGGGAGTTTGATCGATGCAGATGTGAACGATATGCTCAACGAGTCCGGGCAAGGGCCGACACTTCGGCTGCAGCGCGTGTATAAGCTGGCTTGTTGACCGACCGCTCAGCGGGAGTGCATTGCCCGAGAAGATTTGTGAGGAGAGTGGTGAATGTGAAGCTGGGGCGGTACATGGCCGCTAACATGCTCCACAGGGCACCTGGCGTTTGTGTGGTTGATGGCAGGTACCCTCACTCTCGGCCACGTGATTGCGCGCCCGTGTCGTTCTGGCGTCTGTCGTCGCCCACTGTGACCGCCACCCAGTGCGTTTCTTTGCTCTGCCACCGCCGGCCAGCGATTTGCATCGGCCACGATGTACACGGTCACATCGCATCGCGACATCAACCTCGATGTCAGCCATCGCATCACCACGCTCGTCTCGCTACTCCAACATGCCACGACCAGCGCACGCACTTGGTAGCAGCCCCGCGAGCAATTAAACGACCCACGGGCCGATGAGGAAAGAGACTGCTACACCGGCCCCAAGGCCGACCCGACAGACGGGTAGACTTACACACTGGCCCGCCTCCATGTCTCAAACCCTTTTGCCTGCTGCTCGTATCCTAACCTATCAAGGCCCGCCGTTGGGCTTTGACACACTGTCGCTCCAATAATAAAGGGGTGTTGCGTAGTGTGTATGAGATGCCCTGCGCCAAAACGGTCAGTGCCAGATCACGATTCGGCGAGACGAGGCCCCTGGTGTCTGCCTGTCTTCACCGCGGCGCGGGCCCCGGACGACGCTGGGCTGCGTCGACTTTGACTCAGACGAATAGGCAAACTCCCCATGCAAGATACCCGTTGCGGCTACACGGCGGGCGCCGCCATGGGCGTGCCCCGGGCTGCGACCAAGACCCCCCCGGCTCCGGCCCGAAAATCGTCGGCCCCGTCTTTCACGTCGGTGTCGGCATGGAGGCGCTGCTGGGCCGGCGATGCGGGTCGTTCCCCCCCGGGCCGCAGCATAGTGGCAGGATGCCAGGGTCGCGGGGCGCGCGTTCCTGTCTCACGGTCTCAACGCTCGACGGGGGGTTTTGACGTGTCGTGTCCAGGCTGTCGGGCCTCGATCGAGCTTGGCGCAGCGGTAGCTCAACGTCTCCGGCAGATCGGTTACGTCCGAGTCGGGCGCCGTGCAGTAGCTCAACGTCACTCGCGGGCTACGTGGGTATCTACTGTGTGTAGGTGCAAGTGGATCGCGAACATTCAACGTCATTTGGATATCGGCCTCTGGTCTCTCTAACTGGTAGTATTCCGCAAACTTCAAGGATCGATCGCTCGACTCGACAACAGCATCCAGTAACAGCCTGAAAAGGATTCCAATCTAGTAACATTGCCAGTTTCCATAGCACGCTTTGACCCGCCCAAGTGTTGTCTATCACGGTACGCCGTACTCAACGCAGCAAGCTCAACATGACATTTCCAAAACGGTTCACCCAGTTTTGCCCCCATCATGCGGGCAGCGGCAGTCCCGCGTCACGGGCCTTGCGCATCAGCGACCGCTCATCTGACGCTGTAGTTGTCATGTTAGCGCGAGGTCGTGCCGTGATTGCCGGCGCCGATTCGCAGAGAAACTTACATGGACTTTCCGTTGCTGCTTCGCCGGCCACGACGGAGATGGCCCGCGTGCCCAGCTGCGCTACCAGAGCCGCGCCGGCGTAGTCGCCCGGCACGAACTGGTACACGTCGATGCGGATCGTGAACGTGCCGGCATGCGCTATTGACAGGTCCGCAAAGGGGAACACAAACGACGCCGTAGAGCTTTTGGAGCTGGCCACCTCGTACCGGCTCGCCGCCTTGGTGCCCTCCAGGTAGCCGTCGACCACGGCGCCGCGCCGATCGAGAAGCACCGCTGTGGCGAAGTAGTCGACGTCACCCTCCGGTCGTCGGACCGAGTGCTTTGCGATGACGGGCGGGTACAGGTAGGCGCCGGCCTGGGCCTTCTTGGGAGGCTGGACGCCAATCTGGAACTCGGGCATGTTGAAGCAGGTGGTGGTGAAGGTGTCGTGAAGCTGTTGTTGTTGTACCTCTGGGTGGGTGAAGAGTCGTTGCGTCTCGCTGTCTGCGGACACGTAAGAGACCTTGGTCGGCATGGCGGATGCCCTTGATATATATGTTGTTCAACGAAGTCTCGCCTCCCGGGGCCGGTCCTCTGGTAAGGATACGCCCTTGTCGGTCAGGGCCGCCGCCGCACCCTCGCTCAAATCACAGACAAGAAGATTCCACCGGTCACCGAATTCGGTGAAGGATGGCGGACGCGGATAGACTCAGCACAGCTGCGGGAACCCGACAAATGTCGCGGCGCAACGTCCCACGCACGTTCTCTCGCAGCCCGGATACGCCCCGGAGGTGACACCGCGATGCAGGGCGAGGGTAGGGGTCCGCTGCTGCAGAGTAGCAGGAGCGTGTGTGCCTTGCTTGGTTGCTCTCGCTTGATGCCCGAAGAGATGACGAGTCTGCCTGTACGGTGGGTGCGGACGAGTAACAAGGCGCGCGCGGAAAAGGGCGAGGTGCGCGTGCGTGTGCGTGTGTGTGAGGCTTCCCTCAGGAACAAGGCGGTCACGAAGCGAGCGACAGGACAGGGTCGTATATATCTTGTGTCACACGGGGTGGGAAGGGAAGGGCGGCGAGGAAGTCAAGGACCCCCCTCCCCGGAGGCCGAGTCAGGTGCATCGGTGCCTCCCGCAAGGAGTGTGATGCATATCAGACATGGGACGAACTGCTTCGCGGAGAGTTGTTTGCGTATGCGGCTTGTATTCCCTGCGGCGACCGGGGGGTGTAAGAAGGGGGAGGGGGGCAAGGAAAGGAAAGAAAACTGCATAATACCCAGGTAAGCTACGGAGCAGCCGTAGCTGAGTTACCGGGCCTGCTGGAGATGTTGTCTCGCGCTTCCTTTGTCTCACGCCCAAGGAGGAGGGCAGAGCGTCACCGGCGGCGCGCAGCTGGTGGTGCTGTCATTGCCCTGTTCGGACGGAGCGTGGGATGAACGAAACGAACGAACAAGGGGGGCGGCGCTGGCGTTCCCGGGGCGAATGGGGTCGCGTACCAGGGGGCCTTGGGGGCCATCGATTTCCCAGCCCATCGGATCGGGTCCGCGCCAGTGCGGGCTGGGCGCGGGAAGAGTCTGCTCGTGGTGGTCCCTTGGTACATGTCCTACATCCAGGGAGCGGGCGACAGGTGGCCCTGGATCCCAGTTCCAGTTCCAGTTCCAACAGGGCTGGGCAGAGATGGGATGCATCGTGTTGCCTGTCGAGTGATTGACCCGACGGAGGCACTCGCTTGCCCTGTTCCTTGACAGCTCTCACTTTCGCACTCTCTCGACACCCGGACCATTCAAAGACATTTGGGACACGCGCCGATCACTAATCCCGTCACATCTGATCTCAGACCTCGAGGGTCTGCCTGGATCTGGCAAGAGACCCGAACGAAACGGGCACCCAGAAAAGAAAGAAGGAAGCAGGTTCAATGACTTTCTCGGGAAGCCGCGTTGGCCGCCGAGAGGCGTCGCCGCCGCCGCCAGCCCAGGTGGGCTGGGCTGGGCTGCGTGGGTTGCCGAAAAGAGACAGCGCCTGCTGGGAACCTTGGCTTGGGAAAGGCAAAAGAGAAGGACTGCCCGCGACACTTGTCTCACAGGAGATGACCTCGACAATGGGTCATGGGCTGATGTCTGGGCGTTGAAGAGCCTGCGCGTTGTCACTTTAGGTTGCATGCCAGCTTTTTTCTGGAGCGGAACCGGGAACGGCTAATGGGATCGGGAAGCGAGCGAGCGGGCGAGCTGCTAGCCTCCGTCTAAGAAGCTTGTAGCGAGCTGGACTGGAGTGCGCAAAGAGACGACAATCCGGGGGACATGGACAGTTTCCTCGCCTGTTCTCTCAACGCCCGGCCCTTGGTGTTCAAGCTGCTGTGCCGCTGTCCGGGGCACGGAGAACGATGTAAGTTGTAGTAGGCGCTGTTCCGGCGCTCGCGATGAGGAAACAAGGTCGGCCGATTGAGCCAATACGCCCGCCCGTAAAGGGGCACAGCAGCGCCAGGCAGGCGAGCAAGCCGGGTAAAAAATAAAAAGTGATGTATAAAAAAGACAACTCGGGTGAAAAAAAGATGACAGAACAAAAGAAACCAGGGCTGAAAGCCGCAAAGGAGCGTGAAAAAGGGCCTTGCGCTGGGGAAGCTCGAGATTGCAATCCCTGGACAAGCACGATCTTGCACTGTCCGTCACGACCGTCACGACCGACCGGGGGTCGTGGAGATCGGGCGCCGCACGACAGTGTGCAGCCACTGCAGCGCCTCACCCAGGGCCCCGGGACCTGTGGCGCTGGGAGCTGGCCTGCGCTGCCCGCGTTGGGGGTGTTTGGCGAGGTTGGACAAGCAGGGGTTCTGGCGAACAAGGGGGGTGACGGGGCTGGAGGAGGAGGGAGATGGCGACGATGACGGGAAGGCTACGGAAAGCAGGAACAAGACAAAAGCAAAGAAACGTGTCTGCTGGCCCCCCCTTCCCGTGCCTGGGCATCCAGACCAGGCCGAGGGCCATGCCATGCCGGATCCCAATACCAATACAGAGAGGAGAGCAAGGCTGCTGTTTCTCCCGCGACGACCTGTCAGCTTTCGACACGCCCCCGTCGAGATGATGTGCGCCGCACATGACGTCGCGCGTTCGCCTTTCGCTGGGAGCAAGTTTGTTTGCTTGTCGGGGATGAGCTCCAGGGACATGGAGCCATTTGGGGCCTGGCTGGTCGCCGTCCTGACTCAATTACAAACATGCTCGTAAGCGACCGGGCCGGCAGTCAAATGCCCTTGAGATGGTCGCATCTGCCGAAGAGGCTTCCTGGCATCATATCCGTGCCTGCTGCGGCGCCTCGCAAGGCCGGGGGCGTGTGATACGCAAGCGCCTGGAGGCTTGCTCTTATTCACGTGCCTGGTGCATGTATGTGCTCGGATTGCGCTCGTGTGAGCCGGGCCTTGCGATGTGCGACGCCCTTTCATGTCGACACAACGCGCGAATGATTGGGGACTGACTCTGCGTCACGCGCTCTGTGTTGTTACATCGTATGGATTCGTGCGCTGGCCACCCGGGCGAGACTGAAGCTGCTGGTGCGACGGAATATCACGGACCATACCACCGTCGATGTGCCCGGCTGGCCGGAGCTAAATCTCGTTCGTGCATGTGGCTCCGTGGTTGCGTGGCTACGTACGTACGTACAAGCGAACCTTGGAAGAGCCTGAAGCGTGGCGCGATGTATCCAGGAGCGTGGCGCGATGTCTCAGCGTGCAGCTGGGTCGGGTCGCATATCAAGAGACACGGTCTCGAAGATGGAAGCCCGATCTTTCTTCCGGCACCATGAGGGTGGCGGCGGCGACGACCGATTGGGAGAAACGGCGGTCTTCCCGGTCTCGTCCGCCGGGCAGCGGCAGCACCCTCCCTCCCTTCCGTCGTCGTCGTGACCCAGATAAGGATGGAAGCCGTGCAAGGTCTACCTGTTTGGGCGACGTGCATTCGATGCCCCCCGTTGCGCGCAGCAGCCCCTCGGAAGAGAATCTTCGAGGGATCGTTCCCTCACTTATGAGAGGTGACACGTCACGCACTGCGGGTTTGACACGCGCGCACGCGTGGGGTTGCGACTTGCAGGACTGGGCAGAGAGAGAGAGGGTGGGAGGCATGCATAGATGGATGGCGAGAGGGAGAGGGGAGCCTGCGTGTCTACGATTGCAAGGCTGCCAGGAGCCAATGCCGTGTGAATGCCTCGCAGAGGCCAGCTGAAAGCAACATGAAAAGGAAAAAAGGGCCGCTGAAGAATGTGGAAGGGCTTGCGGGTGCGAGTTCCGGTGTGGTAGGGCTGGGCAGCTCGCGCGTGTTCAATGGCAACGGGCAAGGCTATTAGCTAGTATGGGATGGACAGTAAGTGGCTGCGCGACGAGCTGTGCGTGTTTAACCTTGTTTTCAGTGTATAACTGTACATCCCTTGTCCTATGCGCCGCAGCGAGCACGGAGCATGAGCGAGGCGTGGATACTCGGCGGTCCGCACTCGCTCAAACAAGAGAGCTGAGGCCATGCGCAAAGGCTGGTCCATGCTGGTGGGTTTGGTTTTCGCGGAGAGCCTAGTAGCGCTTCGTTACGTTAATACCGCGGCAAAGGACGTGAGGTCGGGGCAGCCAAGGTGTAGGCTGGGCTGTATGCCCTACGCATTGTCTGCGTTTCAACCAGTTTCGCACACAGGCCAGTGCGTATGCAGCGGCGCGAGCCCAGGTTAGACGCCTGCAGTCGTTCGGGCACGACGCCCTTGCGACGTCTGGGTGAAAGCCGCCGGGCAACATAAACGGGGTTTGAGAGAGCAGCCACCAACGCTCAACTGCGTCGCGTCGCAGTGGCATGTGGACTATAAGGCAAGAGGCTCCTGGCTCGGGATGAAAGAAGCTTTTGGTCTGCCTCGCCTGAAATTATGAGCATGGGCGAAAACGAGTGAAGCTATATTGATCAGGCGTCGAAATGAAGTTCACAACGGCATTGACCTTTTGCGTCGCGCTTGCGGGCGAGGCAAGTTCTTGTCACTCTCCGAGATCTGCAGGCCATCAAGTCATGTTGCTAACGTCAAGCGCCTTGGGATCAATTAGGTTCTCCTCACCCAAGCAGCTCGATCAGACAAAGGCGACGAGTCGATGAAGCTGGGGCAGGGCGGCCCGCCGCCGAGGGGGCCGCACGCGGAGAAGCGATGGCACGGGGACAAGCATAAAGACAAGCAGTAATCCGAGAAATCCGCGGAACTCAAGCCATTTGATTCCAACCTGTACCCCAAAGTCATTTGCGGTAGATGGAAGAGCTCGAGCCGTGACGACTTTGAGCTAGCGCGTAAGAGAATCCGCGAATTTCTCGACGCCGAGGACGTGCACCGCGGACTGGCTCTGAAGCCACCCCAGAAGTACAAGTACGATGCCGGGCCGGACAATTGCAAAAGAATTTTTGCGAAAGGACCAAGGGAAACGACATTGGATTGTGGTTTTGCAATGAGGTGAGGGCAATGGATGGCGCCTATGACGCTTTCCTAGGCTGCGGGACAGCATCTGGAGCAAATTTTACTGACGGTGTGGTACAGAAAAAGGAGTCCTTTCAGAGGAAGGGGAATGGTCTCCCTTATGGGGCCCTCTACTCCATACAGAGCATCACGCACAGGGAGGGCAAGCTGTGTACTGAGGAAGACTGGAACAAATTTTCGGTCCAGATGTTTAGCAAGGATGGCTGGAGCGTCATCCTCAGCGCCAAGGAGGGCCTGAACTGCGACGACTGAATGCGCGTTGCCACTCTTCTTCGCCAGCTTAGCGGCCGCCGCGGCGGCCGCCAATGCCAGCATATGTCAACGACGACGATAGCAGGACCGATGTGGCAGAGGATGACGGCACGAGATCGGCGACATAGCCATGCGTGGGCTGGTGCTTGAGAGTGACTGGAGGTGCATAGGTCCAACTCGGGAATCAACGACAGGAGGTGCCGCTAGAGGACGAAAGGCGAATATTGTCTGACAGGAAACATTTATGTGTCAGGAAAGAGGCGCTATATATATGTGTGCAACAGGCGTTGAATTCATGGGAAACAATCTTTACAATCCAGCGAATCGCTTTCCGACGCCATCTGCGAGCATGAGCAGTCGACATGCCAGGCTCGAGCCGCCGCGGCGGGACTTGCAGAATTGACGCTGTGAGGAGCGCACAAGCTACATGTAGAAACCGTTGCCATGATGACTTAATGCGGCGACGTTGCCCGAGAGCAAGAGGGCTTACCGGTCCTTTAAATGCCAGCACACACACATGTGCAGACGCCAGTAGTTGGTGGCCTTCTGCTGTCATCTTCTCTTGAAGTTGACGTGGCTTTGGCGCTGCGAGGAGGCAAACTCTACTCTAAAGATTTGCGGGTTGGGGCGCGCTTGTCGCGACGGCCTCACGCCCAGCACGTGCTACGAGACAAACTCAAATCTTCACCCAAGAGCTGAATAAAAAGACTCTGTGCACGTCTTGCTTGTTCTCTATTTCTTCACCATTTGCATCACCTTGAAGAACACAACTGGTTGCTCCTAAGGCCACTTCAAACTCCTACTCCGCTTCCACCACAGCTCAGCTCTGTCGGCTTGTGTATTCGCACTTGCAGACAGTTTCGTTACGTCTATACCCACCTTCAAAGTCCATACAGCTTCATTATGGTACGCATCGCCGCCGGGTTGGCTGTGGCGGCGGCCTTGTCGAGCACGCAGATGGCGGCAGCTCGGTCCATCGCGCCGCACGACAAGGTCAACAGCACCACGCCCACACAACTGGTCGAGCCAAGCTCAAACGACACCGCAGACGACCACACGGGAATGCAAGATGTCCGAGACGCCATCGCGCGAGCTTCAATGAAGGCCATCGCCGCCGGGGGCAAGAACAACAAAGGCGCGCTCGGCGACGCACCGCCTATGCCAGGCGTCGACACCACCGCCGGCGTCACGCCCGCCCACGGGCAGGTCGTCACGCTGCCGCTGCGCATGGACCTGCGCTGCCGCTGGAACTACATCAGCGACCAGAAGGACGTCAAGGTGTACCGGGCGTTTATGCGGCCGGGCCGCGACAACCCCCAGCAGATGGACGAGTGGTGCGACGAGGTGCGGGATAAGCTTCAGAAGCGCTGCGAGGGCGACTACGGCAAGGGCAACTTCACGTGGCACCGGTGCGCGGGGGACAGCAAGGACCTGCTCAGCTGGGGGCCCAAGGGCGCGGTGGCGACGTGGGAGATTCCCGTCGCGGAAGGGGAGAAGCCAAAGTGCGTGCGCCAGGCGCTGGAGAAGGCGGCTGGCGGGTGGCTGGTGGACTGGATGGGGTTCGAGGGATGCTACCAGGCGTTTGGGTTCGAGATCGAGTATTGAGGGTTGGAAGGGTAGGCTGCATGGTTGCACTGGAAGGCAGATGTTGACTGTGTAGGGTCTCGTCTGGTCACTGTGGTGTGTGTACTGGGGCATTGATGGCCAGGCCGGGCGACACGGATCTGCCTTCTTGTCCAAGTCAACCTCAACACCACCATGCCTGCATCCCACTCAGCTCTTGTTTAGAAACCACCACTGTTGCTCTCCACTCCCCATTCACGCACGTGTTTCCGTATTGCGAAGAAAAAAAAAACAGTTATGTTATTCTTACATTATACCCCGGGGGGAACCGACGCCGGCCGCCAGCGCGCCCTCCGAGTCCGGTGCCCCGATCGGGAAGGAGGCGGCCGGCCCGGCGCCGAAGCTGGCCGAGCGACACGGGAGCGGCGCCCCGGAACCTGCGGCCACGCACCCTCACTGTACCAGTCGCTCAGGGGGGATTTGTAGTTGGGGCAACACCTCGGAAAAGGGCGCAGACGAAACGGGCCCGCGTATCCGCACACGGTGACGTCTCGTGTGGGTGCGCTTGCATGAATTTTCCTCCCCATTCTCCTCCGGCTCGTTCCACAAGCGGCGCGCTGGTTGCTCTGCTTGTTCCCTTTGCTAAGGTTTGCTTGCTGGCACACACACAATCCCGTGGGCAGCCGCTGCGGGACTGACGCACCTCATGCGGCCGTCACCCACCCACATCACACCTACGGCCAATCATGAATTGCCCGTCAACAGCAAGAGAGCTGCTACCGTACCCGGAGGGCCCCCCCTGGTCCGCCTCTGACAGCACCAGCAGCAGGGAAAGCTACCCCGCCAGGCGGGGGTCCTGCGGGCTCTTTATCGGCGGCGGCGGGCTTGGGGTTTGTTGCTGCGCCGTGCCCTGCCGTGTCCGTCTTCAGGATCCCTCCACCACCACAGTCACCACCACCCACCTCGTCGGGGCCCATGAAGCCAATGGCAGCGTGGCAGTTGGCCGGTAGCACCACTTCGGGTCGCTGTCTGCATCGCGGGGCCGCCGCATTTTGTTTGTCTGCCGCTGCTGCCCCTCCTCCTCTTCTGCCTCCGCTGCCGCTGGGCCGCCGTCGTCATCTGCAGGCCCGTCGTTTCGCGTCTTCCGTGCCGCAGCTACTCTCCTCTTCCTTCCCTCCTCTTTCTCCTCCTCGTCTCCCATCATCATCACACCCGAGAATAGCCTCCTCTCGACCACGTCGCGCGCCTGCCAACCACACAAGCACGACAGCGACATACCGAATCTCCCCCCGAGCGCCGTACAGCAGCAGCACCGCCGCAATGGTCGCCCAAGACTTCGAGGCCGTCCTCAAGGGCAAGTACCCGGCCAAGGCGCACGCCCGGCGCGTGCTCGACATCCTCCGCCAGAAGGCGCCCAAGGCCGGCAGCGGCGTCTTCTACCTCGAGAGCACCCGGACCAAGCTGCAGGAGGACAATGACTCTCCGGAGCACTTTAGGTACGCCGACACAGCTCCTTCGTGCCTCGGCCCGTAGCCGATGGTTCCCTCGACCGACTGGAGGCTGACAAGCAACTTCAAAATCGCAGGCAGCGCCGCTTCTTCTACTACCTCACCGGGTGCAACATGGCCGACTGCTCCGTCGCCTACGACGCCGCCGCCGACAAGCTGATCCTCTTCATCCCGCCCATCGACCCCGACGACGTCATCTGGTCCGGCCTGCCCGTCAGCATCGACGACGCCCTCGCGCGCTGGGACGTCGACGAGGTGCGCTACACCAACGAGGTCAACGCGACGCTCACGCAGCTCGCCTCGCGCGCCGGCGCCGACGCCACCGTCTTCGCCCTCGCCGGCCAGGTCTCCGACGACGTCACCTTCCTCGAGTTCGCGCACAAGGACTTTGACGCCCTCAAGCCCGCCGTCGAGACGGCCCGCGTCGTCAAGGACGAGTTCGAGGTGGCCATGATCCGCAAGGCCAACCACATCTCCAGCCTCGCCCACAAGGCCGTCATCCAGCGCGCCCGCTCCGCCCGTTACGAGCGCGAGCTCGAGGCCGCCTTCCTCGAGCGCTGCGTCGCCCACGGCGCAAAGGAGATGGCCTACCACCCCATCCTCGCCGGAGGCAAGGCCGCCGCCACGCTGCACTACGTCGACAACAACGCGCCGCTCGAGGGCAAGCAGAACGTGCTGATTGACGCGGGCGCCGAGTGGGAGAATTACGCCTCGGACATTGTGCGTCTTTTTGACTGTTTTCCTCCTTTCCACACCACCTGTGTCTTTCTCGTTTCTTCATGCGCAGAGAGCACATTACACTCGTAAGAGATCATGATACTGACGTTGGCCTTCCAGACGCGCACGTTCCCCTTGTCGGGCAAGTTCACCAAGGAGTCGCGCGACATCTACGACATCGTCTACAAGATGCAGCAGGACTGCACCGACATGATCAAGGCGGGCATGCTCTGGGACGACATCCACCTGCACGCGCACAAGATCGCCATCGCCGGCCTGCTGGCGCTCGGCATCCTGCGCGGCGACGCCAGCGAGATCCTGGCCGCGCGCACCAGCGCCGCCTTCTTCCCCCACGGCCTGGGCCACTACCTCGGCCTCGACACGCACGACGTCGGCGGCAACCCCAACCGCGGCGACAAGGACGCCCTGTTCCGCTACCTGCGCCTGCGCGGCGTCATCCCCGCCGGCAGCGTCGTCACCGTCGAGCCCGGCGTCTATTTCTGCGAGTTCATCATCCGGCCGTACCTCGACGACCCTGTCCACAGCAAGTTCATTGACGCGGCGGTGCTGGACCGCTACTGGGACGTTGGCGGTGTCCGGTGAGTTCTGCCCTCCGTCTCCCCTATTTTTCTTTTCTCTCCTCTTTGCTCTGTTTTGGTGGTGAATCAATGGTGCATTTGGCTGACAGAATTGCTGCAGCATCGAGGACAACATCCTCGTCACCGAGACGGGCTACGAGAACCTCACGACGGCCATCAAGGAGGCCGCTGAGATTGAGGCCACCGTTGCCTCGGGCTAGAGACTAGAGCCTCGGAAGAAATAAATAGAAAAAGACAAAGAAAAAAAATACAGTCCATAGGGTCCCGAAAATGGTCCCATGATGCAATCCTCTTCACTGTCGTGACGCCAATTGCCGGCGCTTCCTGAAACGCTTGTCGATTGCAAAGAGATCCCCCGCGAGGCCCGGAGATTGGCTGTCGTAATACCGTGCTAGCTGGTGCAAATTACCACGACGCAGCACTGTGCCCCGGGGCTGGGTGACGAGGCGCTTCTTTGTCTCGCCAAGCGTCTCTCATTTGCCCACTCGACAAGGGATGAGGGCGAGGCGCGCCTCAACAATGGGGGCTTCCATCATGACTTCTTTCTTTTCTTCCCGTCTCCTCTGCTAAAACCCACCGCGCGTTTCGCATCTTGTAAGATGTCGGGCCAGCAGTAGCTGAGCAAGACGGAGAGAAGCATGGAGGCTGTCCCTCGCCGCCGGCCGCTGGCCAGCCGGTCGCCCAACGGATCCTACCTCACGGTGCAGCAGCCGCAGCCGCCGCCTCCGGGCCTCCCGCCGAGTGCTCGCCCGGGCGTCCTCCGGCCCTGCCGATCGGCGGCCCAGCTGCGTGCCAACGGCGCTCGCCAGGAACAACGACCCGAACCCTTGAACTCTACTCGCGGTGGGCACGCCGAAGTTGGCTTTCCGATCGACGACCTTCCTCCGCCGTACTCGCCCTATGCTCCGGCCTCGCACAGCACCACCGGCGGCAATGGCGGCGGCGGCGGCGAACTGCGTCGCGTGCAGAGCTCCTCGGCCCTCTCGCAGGCCGCCCGCGACGCGCCTTCACCCAACGCCTCGTTCCTGTGCGCCGCGCCGTCATCGCCATCTTCATCTACCGCATCACAGGCGTCAAAGCCGTCGAGATGGAAAGCCGCCTTCACCGAGGCCCAGTACGTCGCCGGCGGGCTCGTCAGCCGACCCGCCGAGTCGACGCGCCACTACAGCATCATCCGCCACTCCCACGCCCTGGTCTGGTACCGCGGCCCCTCCACCTCCGTCTCCGTCACCATCCTCGCGGACGAGCCCCTCCCGCCCGGCCGCAAGCTCTGGCTCCAGGAAAAGGGTTACTCTGGCGGCCTCGGCATGACGGTCAAGGCCTTCATGGGCTCCACGGGCAGCTGGCTCGACGTGACGCCAGCGCGCGAGGCCCGCCCGGAGCATATCCCCGAGGTGGACGAGCGCGGCATCCAGCGCGACCTGCGGCGCTTCGCGAAGCGCGCCTCGGGACGGCTCAAGGCGCATGTGGCGCGGGAGACGCATGTGGTGCGCATACCCGCGACGGCGACGGACGGGTACTTTCGCCTCGTGCTGTGCGCCGGCGAGAAGGAAAAGGACAAGGACTCCAAGAAGGTGCTGTGCGGCAGCCCCGTGTTTCGCATCGCCAGCACATCGACGGACGTGGCCATCGTGCGCGGCGCGAGCCTCAGCACCATGCCGCTCGAGCTCGGCGTCAAGGTCGCGAGCACCATCGGTCAGCAGGTGGCCAAGAAGTACACGGGCGTCGCGGGCGCCGTCGTGCAGAACCGCGCCGCCAAGGTGGCTCACTACGCGGCGGCCAAGACGGCCGGCAAGACCGTCCTCGAGACGTATCACAAGGTCGGGCTGGCGGACTCGGTCAACGATAGCTGGCAGCGGAGCAGGCAGGGGCAGTACGGCCAGCATCTGCTGGAGCCGACCATCACGGTCATCGGATCCGACGCTGGGCCCTCTCCCCCGTTTCCCTTGAAGTTCGACGGCAAGGTCGCCGCCGCGAGCGGGCGGTCCGTGGTAGAGCTGGGCTACCCGACCGCGAACCTCAAGGACGTGTCCGACGCCATCAAGACGCGCCTCGGCGGCGTGTTCGCGGCGTGGGTCATGATCGTCCCGGCAAAGGGACTCGAAGACGTCGACAGCGACTGGCACGAAGCCGTCGTCACCATCGCCCCTCCGCGCGACGCGCCCCCAAGCGTCGCCATGCGAAACAGCGTCGCGGTGCACATCGCATTCGACTTTGACGGGGTGACTTTTTACGACGCCAGGCTCAAGGTCCTACTCATGGGCTACCTCCACGCCGCGTCGCTGTCAAGCAACACTGGCGAGCTGGCCGACGAGCACGCCCAGGACGTCATGACGACCCTCGCGAGCCTCGGGCGGGACAACTGGCAGCCCCACGACACGGTCACGCAGATGCGGTCGATCCGCAGCGAGAGGAGCTTCTCCGACAGGCTGACCGAGGCGACGGGCAAGGTGCAGGAGCAGGTTGACCGGATACCGCTGCACTGGGCGGGCGTGCGGTCCGACTCGGGGACCGCGCGGGACCAGATGTACGGCAACGGGGGCATTTGGATTGCGAGATAGCATTTACGTGGGAAGCGAGTGCTGCAGCGACTTATATGGCATCTAGCGTGTACAAAATTGGAAATCGTTTTGGCAACATGAAGCAAGTTCACGAACAGGACGGTGACAGGGCAGCGACTGGAGCCACAAACCCGGCCATGGACTTCGGCGATAGTTACTGCGAGGACGGTCGACCATGCCCCTGTCCAAAGTGCAGAGTGCTTGATGGACCGCTCGCTTACTGAAGGCTCTCACATATCTTGAGGTCGACCCGGAGGAGTCTGCAGGTCGGCCAGTGCCGGCATCGTAGACGTCCATGGGCTGTGCTATATTTGTCAAACAACGTTGGTGGCCAGAATCGCGCACCTCAATAAGGTTGCCTTTACGGCCAAACCACCGACGGTAGTTGTAGCAGGTGCAGAACCGGTCGGAGCGCTACGTCTCTCTCACTATGAATGTGCCATTTACATCACAAAACGTCGCGCGGAGGTCCGCCTCGAGCCCTGTACACCAACCCCCGACGTCGGACACAATGGTGCCGTTCCGACGCCTAGGTTGAGATATTGCAAAGAGGCTCAATTACGGCAACATGCTTCAATGTTTCACACTCAGCTGGACTGCGTATCCGCCATCGAGATCAGATTGCCGCATCTCCGTACTCCGAGATCTGTCACTGATGATCATGTGCCACGAACATGGCGGCATCTCGCATCCCAGGGCGCTCTTGGTCTTACACAGCCCCCACCAGTTCTCCATACACGATCGAACGTCCTCAGATCATCGTCTGTGACTCCAGTCTGTGCCACGGACCGTATCTGGATTCCACACACCCCATAATCCGGACCGACACGCTCCATCTCAAACGCCAACGCTGGGTAATGGTTCATCGCCAGTGGCGTCCGTGTTCATGTCTCTCACACAAGCCTGTCTCACAGCCATTTCCTCACCTGCCGGTCCCAACTTTGGCTCAATGTAGTAGCAACGGCGAGTTCGGTAGAGCCCGCCGTATATGCACGGCAGCCAGCCAGCCACCGCGGCGTGCTGCGACGTGCCGCTCAGCCGCAAGTCGAATGGAAACATGCTTCTGGGGTGCGCAGTCGGGCGGACGACGCGTGACCACCAGCACCAAGCAGAAGCACGACGTCTCCTCCTCCTCCTACGCCTCCATGTCCGCGAGCGCCGCCGCCGATGTCGCCGTTTCGTCGAACCTTCTACTCGTTAGCTCCAGATTGCCGGCCTTCCACACCGCTTCTCCGTCTTCTTCGCCGAGCTTGGCTGCGGCGGCGGCGAATATGCTGCTAGACATCCCACCGCTCTAGTATGTAGTTCCGTACCATATCTCATGCCGTTGGTGGGATCGATCTCGCCGCGCGGCAAACAGGGTGCTACCTTGCACCTTGCCCCTGCTGCTGCTACGAAGCACCACGTACATATGTCCCGCGTTGCAAGTGCCGAAACCCGCGCGCCCCTGATCCATGGATCCCTTCTTCCCTCGAGATGCTCCTCCTTCAGCCCCACGAGGGAGCTGAATGGGCAAAAGGGCGGCCATGGACGGCCGATCTATCGATTCCCGGCATCGCGCCCAACCGCCGCCCCTTCCCGTGACCGGACCGCGATGCGGGGGATCTTCACCGACGCCAGCCAGCCACTGCCTGCGCAACGGCCGCAGTGCAGTGCGGGGAAGGGAGGGCGTCTTCACTCCCCCAGGTGGTTCGTCCGCCTCCATGTGCCCGTCGTTTCTTTTTCCCCCAAGCCACCATGATCTAAATGCTGTCCGAGATTCTGCGTTTGAGACATGCTTTCGCGCAGTCCGAGAGTGCGGCGCACACATGTAGGGGGTGGTCACGTTCGTGGGTTCATGCCTCACTGCTCAGCCTCAACATTCGGCGGTGAGCGATGACCGCCTAAGGTTTCGTTCCACTCATCAGTCTCACATCACATCACATCACATCACATCATGCATAGCGCGCTCAAAAGGTTCAGCCCATTATCGTGTCATCTCTTGTCTGCGTGTGCTCATCCTACCAATAGCAGAAAAACGCTTTCAAAGTCAACCGTTATGCCGTAGCATCGATGAGCGATGCATCCATCCCATGCCAGCCAACCAACCATTTCCAGGACCGTAACAATTCTCATTCCATCCGTCGTCCTCGCCATGCTTTGCAAGAAGAGCAGGCTAGTCTCCAAGACAATGTGAAAAGCGTCATTATAATTTTTCAACCGCCGCCCGAGCCCATTTTCCAGGCCGTGATGTAAAACAGCCGTAGCCGTGCCAAAGGTGCAAAGGAAAGTGAAATAAACACCATGATTCAAAAGCCCAATGTCGCCTCTTTGATGCAACGAGAGTGCACAATCTGCAAACCGGTTCCGTAAACGCCTGCCGTGAAAGACCTAAGCCAGCAATGCTAAACAGTTTGAAACACAAAATCCAACGCTCCTCGTGTCGTGAGGGGAGTCTTTGTTAGGCACCATTGTGCCCCAAGCGCGTGTGACTCAGTCGGTCGCTTCAAAAATCCGAGTTCATGGTGGCTCGGCTCACAAATCGATCAGACGCTTGATCTATCGTTCGCTGAGCTTCTAGCCGCGAATCGCCGTCGCGGACTGAGATTCCGTACTCCAGGGGAAACGATCCGACAACTGTGTACTGTGATAAGACACGTCGCTCGCGGGCGTCCCAGCTCCAGAGGCCAGCGCAGAAGGCGTGGCCCGGGTGGAACTCCTCGTCGCAGACGTAGAGCGATGTTCGCTTGGCCCAAAATTGACCAAATTTTGCATCGCCGTCGGCGCAGGTACCGATACCGTCATCAGGGAAGGAAAGTACGGGTTCGAGCTGCCGAGTCTGATCGAGTGATGGGTGGCCGTCGGCTCGACTCGACGGCTCTCGACAGTGCTCTTTGCCTCGATGTCCCCCGCGGGTCCGTCATATGATCCGTTCTTCAGAGTCCCGTCCTTGATGGTGGGACTCGACTTGGAAGAGCCAAACTGTGCCCTCCCGTTAGTTCAATGTTCCTTCCGTCATGTCTTGCGCATCATCTCCAGGCACCAAGCGTCGCCATCGAAAAGGGGTTGAGCGGGCTATGCCGTCGCGGGGGATTCGGTGAGGCTAAAGTGCAATCCAGGGGTACGTACAAAGCAGTATTTGTTGACGAGCTCCTCATACGACGCGCTAGCGAGGCTCGGGGTCGGCGAGAGTGAGCCGTTCGGGGAGTGTTCGCTGCTCGAGCTCGGCGATGCAGCTGCCACCGCCGGTTGGGGAACGCCCAGCGAGGATCCGAAGCCGCGGACGTTGCGTTTCATATACAGCGCGTCCTTGTCCTTTGCCGCCGCGTCTTTAGCCACCTGCATGGCGGCGCTGAGCGAAGCACCAAAGTCATATCGGTTGGAGAAGGCGACGCCGCTGGGTGACGTGAGGTTCGTGGCGATGTTGTCGCTAGCCAGGTTGGCCGTCGACTTGGTCTTGAGCCGCAGGGGTCCAGACTCTCCGAGGTACTCGTGGATGGGCTGATCGAACGCGAGCTTGTTGGGCTCGCTGCCAAAGGCGTCCAGAGACACGGGCACTGACACGGGTCGCAGCGCGCTCGGCGGATTATGCCTGCGGTTGCTGCTGCGCGGCAGGCCGTTGGCAGAGCGAGACGTAGCGCCCCCGAAGTTGTTCTTACCGTTTTGGGGCAGGTGCTTCTTCTTGAAGTCGACCTGGAAGTTTGTCGAGCTGTTGTTGTCCCAAAACTCCTGGCCGTTTACCGAGTAGCGCACGCAGAAGAAGAGCGTCTTCGATTCAAGATTGGCCATGTCTGAGAGCTTGATGGTGAAGGTGAAGCGGTCGTAGCTCACAGGTGTTTCCCGAGGTCGGATCTCGTGGCTGTACTCGGCGGCGACCTCGGACACTGTCTTCCAGTAGTCGAGCGTGAAGCGGCACGAGACCTGTTTGTGGAAGGCCAGGTTGGCAACGGCGATGGAGCCAAGCAGTGACTTTTGATCACTCGACAGCCACACCTTCTCCAGCCTGACGGGCATCGCCTTGCGGTGGTGCGAGTCATGCGGGAAGTTGGCTGTGACGAGTTCCCATTCGAACGGCGGCGTGCGAGTTCCCTGCTTGCCGTTACCAGGAAAGGGATATTCCCCGTCACTCTCGTAGTTCTCCACCGGCGAAGACCCCGCGCTGACGGCCAGAGGACGATCGACCTGCAGGAAATGCCGTACGTGCTCCAGGTGTGAGTCGAAGTGAACGGCCTTGGAGAAGATGGGGGTTCCGGGCATGCTCGTCGGCCGCCGGTGAGAAGCACGCAGCGCAGGCCGTACAAGCTCTCCAGACTTTTTCCGGACCATCTGCGGCTTATACTTCAGGTCCTCATCAGAGTCCTCCTCGGAGCCCATGACGGAGTTATCGGCGGATTTGGGGGTGGTGATGGTAGACTCTGTTGCGGACCGCACGTGGCCGAGCTTGCGGCCGACTTTGGGCAGGTTAGCGAGGGCGCTCGTGCTCAAGCACAAGCGTACCCCGTGAGATTCAGCAGCCTCCGTTTCTTGCTTGCCATCGTTTGAGGGAGCCGGTGATGTTGCAGGCAGAGGAATCTGGCTGACAGCATCGCGCAAGTTCTTCAGCGTGTCCCGATCCCGTCCCAGAATCTCGATGGGCTCCTCGTCGTCGCTCCCTGAAGTTGCCGACTCGGGCGGAGAGACGATGGCCCCCTTGGGTATCAGCTCCCGCGCATCCGTCGGCGGCGGCGGTGATTGCCGCACGCTCCCTCCCAAGCCCCCGTTCACGACACCCTTCATGGTCGTGGTGAGAGACTCCGTCTGGACGTCATCGAGGCTGGTGATAGAAGGGGTGCGGCGGTGCTTGTTGAGGTACGAGGCAGATCGGGGAAGTGATGGCCGTGGCCCAGACTGGAAAGATGAGCGACGGCTCACATCAGGGGACCCGGAGGCTGAAGAGGCAGGTGATCGATGTGAGGGCGGCGTATAAGGCATCCCAAACACGGGCGGCCTGTAGATAGAGCTATAATCGGGATTGCAGAGGGGGATAAGTGTGAGTGTTTGCGATGTAAGGGTGTAGGTGGCGGTCGGCGAGCGACAAGTGGCTAGATGACTTGGCTCGGGGATGGAATCATAGGTCGTCGGGGTTTATGAAGACAGCGCCGTAGGACGAGACGAATGAACCTGCTAAGTAGCGGGTTGTTAGCCGCATAACCATGCAGGGGAGTGCGAACGTGAGTAGGGGAAGCGTGTCTTGCATGCCCGCATGGCGCTGGCTGTGCAAGGAGAACGGCGAGCAGACGCTACGAGTGCTCGCCAAAGATTGATGTCGTGTGCATGTTATGCGTCACCGAGTCCGTGGTCGATGCAAAAGGGAGCGGGACGTACCTTGAGGGGCAACAAGGCAGGCGGCTGTCGAAGAGGTTCCAAATGCGGCGCGTCACACAAGGCAGATTCGGGCAATATTCCAGCAACCGAGACAGACCAAGCGGGAAGCAAGAGCGTATTAATCCAACCCAAGAAGCGAAGAAATCGGAGGCGGAGACGGAGAAGGCGAGAGCAGGACGCGGAAGGTGCCGTCTAAGAAGGCGTCGTTTCGTGCAGGCAGGGCCGGGACGGACGGAGCGCCGTTGGCAGAAAAAAAATGCACGACGTCACTGTGGCCTGCTGCGGCTCGTCGATAAGACACTGGTCGGTTCCGCCGTTACCGTGCCTTGGTGAGATGGTCGAAGGGGAAGCTGTTCGAGTCAACAGCCCACCTATGCTTTCGTGTCGAGAGAGGAAAGCCTCGATCTCGTGAATTGGGTGATTCTCTGGGAGAAGGAGAGATTGGTGGTGGGCAGCAAGAGCCAGGAAGAGCCGGGGCGGGGAGCGGGTTGATTTTGTTGCACTTCGGAGGCGGCGGCGGCGGGCGCTGACGGCGGGACTGACAACTGAGATGGCACACACTCAGACGCCCATTCCCACCCCAGGCCGGACGCTATTTTTCCAACAGTGCAACGGCAGGTACTGCACTGAAAGGCACTAAATCTTGCTACCAGCACTACGGGGGGGGTGGCCAAGGATCTGGGTGAAGTGGAGGGAGGGGGGCCTGGCCAGGCGCAGCTTCATCAAGGACATGGAGGTCCGGGCTCGGCAGCCCGTCTTTGCCTGCCCAGATTGTGTGCTATCAGCGGCTCGGCGAGGCGAAGCGAGTCTTGCATCTCATGCTTGGCTGAGCCGGCTCTCCGGGTTTTTGACTTTCAACGGTTGACGTCTCCCTTTTCTGCTCCTGTACGCACGCAGCGGCCACGAGGCAAAACGTGATCCAACGGCGCTGCGTGAGGGGACGACGCATCGGGGCGGCGGCGGCGGCGCACTTTGAGACGAGCCTCAGACGAAGGCAAACTCAACCGCTGGCTGGCTGCTGGCTGGCCTGCGAGAAATCACAGCAGCGGCGCCTGGACGCACGCCATGAGCAACGCCAACGCGACGAACTGGGGGGCCGAGCCAGACAGGGGGCAGGATACGCCATGCCGCGCAGACACGGCAGCGCGGCGTGTGTTGAGGCGCTTGGGGAGGTCTGGGTCTAGCGCTGGCTGGCTGGCTGCAAGCCTTGGTGTCGTTTGGTGGAGCCCGTGAAAAAGTATCGTCGATCGGGGGGGACGAGGGGAG